AAACATACATTATGAAAGGTTGTGTAAAGGAGGACTATTCATTTTACGAACCAGGACTGTTTGTGACAATTACATGCTGCACAACATGTGCAGCTGCCATGTTTAGCTAACAGTGCACCAACTCCAGCATGCACCATCAACAGTACACAACTGTAGAGCTTAGCCACACCCACACAGATCTATACTAATGTAAAGTTTATCTGGGAGTGTTATGACATTCCTCCACAAACACCAGACCTGTTTTCAATAGTCACGTTTAAACAGCCACCAACATGTCTAAGAAAAAACCAGCCATTATGAAAGGTTATGTTTGAAAATGGTGTTTGGAGACAACTTTGTCCAACACTGAAGTTTGGTCTCAGAAAAACTTGCAGGGTAATTAACCTTTTAATTCAACTCCAGATGTTGGGATGGGAGCATATGATATATACTGGAGTCAATGTGTATTCAGATAGAGTTAGGATCAAATATATCCTCTGTAGTTAGTAAGACCAAGATGCATCAAACTCATCCATGAAGCCCAACTTAATGGAAACTGTCACTAGTTTGTAGGTTTGGAGTCAAATAGTTATCTTAAAAAAAATCAGTTCATGTTGCACAGTGGAAGGCAACGATCATGTGTCCACCTTCTGTCCTGACTCCACTTGAAATTTTTCAATTGATGGGAAACTAAACGTGATTCTCTTATGATCTCTATGGGGAACTAAACGTGATTCTCTTAATATGACATATATGTGGAACTAAACATGATTCTCTTATGATCTCTATGGGGAACTAAACGTGATTCTCTTATGATCTCTATGGGGAACTAAACGTGATTCTCTTATGATCTCTATGGGGAACTAAACGTGATTCTCTTAATATGTCATATATGTGGAACTAAACGTGATTCTCTTATGATCTCTATGGGGAACTAAACATGATTCTCTTATGATCTCTATGGGGAACTAAACGTGATTCTCTTAATATGTCATATATGTGGAACTAAACGTGATTCTCTTATGATCTCTATGTGGAACTAAACGTGATTCTCTTATGATCTCTATGGGGAACTAAACGTGATTCTCTTATGATCTCTATGGGGAACTAAACGTGATTCTCTTAATATGTCATATATGTGGAACTAAACGTGATTCTCTTATGATCTCTATGGGGAACTAAACGTGATTCTCTTATGATCTCTATGGGGAACTAAACGTGATTCTCTTATGATCTCTATGGGGAACTAAACGTGATTCTCTTATGATCTCTATGTGGAACTAAACGTGATTCTCTTATGATCTCTATGTGGAACTAAACATGATTCTCTTATGATCTCTATGGGGAACTAACATGATCGTTTATTGAATAAATGCAAATAAAGAAGCTATGGTAGTTACATGACCAAGAATGTAGGAAAGAATAACTAGCTATAGGAGCAAGTACTCACTTAACATTTCTATGGACCACAAATATTGGTTTAACTAGTATCTATAAAGACCACCAATATTGGTTTAACTAGTATCCATAAAAAACACAAATATTGGTTTAACTAGTATCCATAAAGACCACCAATATTGGTTTAACTAGTATCTATAAAGACCACAAATATTCGTTTAACTACAGTAAACTACAGTTATAACGAACTCAAAGGGACCACTTATTTTAGTTCGTTATAACCGTAGTTCGTTATAAGCATATATACAGCATATATACAACAAATGGCCGGGACTAAAAAATAAGTTCGTTATCTCGGTCAGTTCATTATAAGCGTGTTCGTTATAACCGTAGTTTACTGTAGTATCCATAAGGACCACCAATATTGGTTTAACTAGTATCTATAAGGACCACCAATATTGGTTTAACTAGTATCCATAAGGACCACAAATATTGGTTTAACTAGTATCTATAAAGTCCACAAATATTGGTTTAACTAGTATCCATAAGGACCACCAATATTGGTTTAACTAGTATCCATAAAGACCACCAATATTGGTTTAACTAGTATCTATAAAGACCACAAATATTGGTTTAACTAGTATCTATAAAGACCACCAATATTGGTTTAACTAGTATCTATAAAGTCCACAAATATTGGTTTAACTAGTATCCATAAAGACCACAAATATTGGTTTAACTAGTATCCATAAAGACCACCAATATTGGTTTAACTAGTATCCATAAAGACCACCAATATTGGTTTAACTAGTATCCATAAAGACCACCAATATTGGTCCAACTGGTATCTATAAAGACCACAATATTGGCCTATGACCACGAAGGTTAAATGGTCTTGCTCCAACGAACGAAAAGCCTACAATGACGATTGCAATGCATCACGTGTCAGAATCTATTTTCTGCACGTGAAACGAATGTTATCTGATATCTGAATCTGATATCTGTGAAGCATGTGCCGTTTATTTGATTTGTTCATGTTACATGAACCAAAACAATGTTTAGTTTGTTTTTTATTATCTCTCCTCAACAATTCATGTTCTCAAAAAACCTTTACACATGTAAAATTCACATATTTGTGTTTTTATCAGTATTTATCCAAATTGACTTTTTAAAACATATTTATTACATTTATTGGGGTAACTTTGTAACACTACTAATTCTCATCAATGGGATGATAATACAAGATGAGTATTGTGAGAGGCAATACGACCCCTGACGGCCAGTCCCACAAACAATCAGTCCCTTGAACGGACAACAGGAGGGGTGTAGGTAGTGCCTGCTCTACTTCTCACGTGTGCTTTTCCACGGACATTTCATCAAAGCCTTGCATTCCAGCATCCATGAAATGTTGATTTGTTAAACTGTAAAGGAATGAAGTACCCTTGTGCTAAAATGGGGATATCTGTCGAGGATGTGTAACTCAGCTGATACTCTTGATGCATAAGAATCTCCCATACAAATGTGACCCGAATCAGTTGAAAAATAGCAACTAAGGCTAGCTAACACAACATCCTCTGAATGACGTTATGGATTAACCACTTCAAATGTGCAACATGCCTGTTGTCAGATCTATTGTCAACAGGATATGTCCCCAACAATTCATGGACAAACAGAAAAGTGTCCGCTTTCATCGTGTTTTACAGCTAAGATGGCTGCCTTGCCGGTGCACAACCGCTCAGGCCTTGAACAAGATTTACAGCCATACTTGGACCACCACAGTGTCCCTTTTGTCTGGTTATGACAAACAAATAAACATATACACATCAGTGCTTGGCAAATACATGTGTGTGTTGAGTAATATGTTTATGTTTAGCAAAGCAAGTGGTGTACAATGAGAATAACAGATTATTTATGGTTAAGATGTTTTGGAAGTTTATTCTAAATATTAACCATATTTTGTTGTTTGAAACTTGTTTGCAGAATAATCAATCTGTTTTCAGAAAGACTGAACACAAAATGTTCTGTGATGTCATCAATGAATAGCAAAACTGTACTGATATCACATTGCTCTGGGGAGCTTTGAATCAAAGTTGGTTGGTTTGTTGTTTAACACCGCACTCAGCAATATTCCAGCTATATGATGGCGGTCTGTAAATAATCGAGTCTGGGCCAGACAATCCAGTGATTAATATCATGAGCATCGATCCGTGCAATTGGGATCAATGACCTGCATGAACCCTATCAGCGAGCCTGACCACCCGACCCTGCTAGTCACCTCTTACAGCAAGCATAGTCGACTTTTACGGCAAGCATTTGCAAACAAAGAAAACACAGGAAGACTAGGCATGAAATATAGTAAAGAAATATTTCACACAGACTTCATCCATAATGTGTGTCATCCTCAATAATCCAGTTTATTATATTTCCATTCTGTTAAGACAAATACTCAATCTCCACCATAGCTGAAATTGTATGGTACCAAACTAAAAATAGCCATCCAATCAAATTACTCTCCTGAGCACCAAAAATTCAGTGCTATGTAAGAGATATGTGCGACAGAGTTGGTGATTTAAACCTTCATAAAAATTTTTATGGTGGCAAATGGTTCCAGGGAACTTATCTTCATGGAAGGGAAAGTCTGTGTGTATGTATCTGGTTTGATGACGGTCAATGGTCCACCCAGTACTCTGTTTTTATATGTCTGGTGTTTCAGCTCTGTATATGTGTGGTGTTTCAGCTCTGTGTGTGTGTGTGGTGTTTCAGCTGTGTGTGTGTGTGTGGTGTTTCAGCTCTGTATATGTGTGGTGTTTCAGCTCTGTGTGTGTGGTGTTTCAGCTCTGTATGTGTGTGGTGTTTCAGCTCTCTGTGTGTGTGTGGTGTTTCAGCTCTGTATATGTGTGGTGTTTCAGCTCTGTGTGTGTGGTGTTTCAGCTCTGTATGTGTGTGGTGTTTCAGCTCTGTATGTGTGTAGTGGTTCAGTTCTGTGTGTGTGTGGTGTTTCAGCTCTATGTGTCTGATGTTTCAACTCTGTGTGTAGCATTTCAGCTCTGTATGTGTGTGGTGTTTCAGCTCTGTATATGTGTGGCCTTTCAGCTTTATGTGCCTGATATCTTAGCTCTATGTGTGTCTGATGTTTCAGCTCTGTATGTGTGTGGCTCTTCAGCTCTATGTGTCTGATGTTTCAGGTCTGTAGGAGTGTGGTGTTTCAGCTCTGTATATGTGTGGTGTTTCAGCTCTGTATGTGTGGTGTTTCCGCTCTGTGTGTGTGGTGTTTCAGCTCTGTATGTGTGGTATTTCCGCTCTGTATGTGTGTAGTGGTTCAGCTCTGTATGTGTGTGGTGTTTCAGCTCTATGTGTCTGATGTTTCAACTCTGTATGTGTGTGGCTCTTCAGCTTTATGTGTCTGATATCTTAGCTCTATGTGTGTCTGATGTTTCAGCTCTGTATGTGTGTGGCTCTTCAGCTCTATGTGTCTGATGTTTCAGATCTGTATGAGTGTGGTGTTTCAGCTCTGTATGCATCTGATGTCTCCACTCTCTGTGTAATGTTTCAGCTCTGTATGTGTCTGATGTTTCAACTGTGTTTGTGTCTGGTGTTTCAGCTCTTTGTGTCTGATGTTTCAGCTCTGCAGTCATCGGCATGCTACGGAACCGCCAATAACTTCCTGGAAATGAACTGTGAAGAAGGGACGGTAATCAAGGTGACACAGGTCCTGTATGGAGCTAAGCTGAAGGCTGACAACTGCCCAGTCCCAACTGTTAACACAAACCACGACCCAGACTGCTGCCACCTCACAGACACGACCTGTGCCTTTTCTCTCCCAGGGGGCGTGGATGAACGGACTGACCCCTACAAGGCGGTGTGCGCTGGTCTGACATCCTGCTTCATGCAGACCCAGTGGCTGGACACCACCGGACACTGCAGTGAGGACTACATGTCACACACAAACTTCATGCAACTCACTTACATCTGTCTGAACGGTAAGTACAACCAAGATTCGAGCATCTTGACACACTCAGACGCAGACGCAACTGGACACAAACAAACACTGACACAAGTAGACACTGACACAATCCTTCACCGACACAATAAGACACTGACACTTAACAGGAGGAACCCCAAAAGTGACTTGAGATATTTTACTGTTGTAAAACTCCTCAGCATGGGCTTCACATGGTGTCAACAAACCATAGATCAGAACAAACATGGGTAGCCTAGTGGTTAAAGCGTTCGCTCATCATGACAAAGACCCGGGTTTGATTCCCCAGTAGGTACAGTATGTGCAGTCTATTATGGTGTCCCCCGCTGTGATATTGCTGGAATATTACTAAAAGCGGCATAGAACCATACTTACTCACTCACTCAAAACTAAGACAACCAACTCTGCACAGCTAATTGCAACGCCTTTCATGTTGTCAGAACAGTATATGCTTTTTGTATTTGTTCATGAAAGAAACGCTTTGATTTGGTTTGGTTTGTTCGTTGATTTACGCCACACTCAGCAATATTTCAGCAATATGACGGCGGTCTGTACATAATTGAGTCTGGACCAGACAATCCAGGGATTGACATCATGAGCATCGATCCACGCAATTGGGATACGATGACATGCATTAACCAAGTCAGCGAGCCTGACCACCTGATCTCATTAGTCACCTCTTTCGACAAGCATAGTCACCTTTTACAGCAAGCATGGGTTGCTGAAGATCTATTCTACCCCAAATCTTCACAGGTCGAAACGCTTTGAACATGGTGAAAAAGCATCTATCATATTTGAATTTACAGTTGTTATTTGTTTGTGTTGCCAGGAAACACTAGTCAACCAAACAATGTAGCAGCATCAGGCAAGCCAGTGACAACAGCAACAACAACAGCGACAACAACAGCAACTACAACAACAACAACCACATCAACAACTACAACCCCACCAGCAAAAACAACAAGATCACCAAGTACACTGAAGGAGGGAGGATCCACTGTGACTGAGACAACAGACTATGAGCTGTATACAGGGACCTCTCCCATTCCTGAACCAACTACAGTTGTAAAGCTAAGGTCAGATCAAACCAACGGACCATGGTCTGGGCCTGGGTCCAACTTGTCAAACCCTGGGTCCCGATCGTCCCCCTACATGACCTCCTCCCCCTCCCCTGGGAAACATGTGGAGATGGATGTGACCTTCACAACCACAGCGGTAACGGTCAAGTCGTCATCAGCATCAACATCAAGCTTTGCATGTGAGTACATGGTACGAGGTTGTCCTCAGTGTGAGTGACTACAAACCTATTCCTTTGAAAATGTATAGGGAGGGTAAATAAAAATATTTGTAATCATGACACATTTTGAAACTGTGTGAGTTGGAATTTAAGCAGCTTTGAACAGTACATCACTTAAGGAAATGCCAGCTTAAGCACAAAAATGTCTGAAACTGGATCAGGTTGTGGACATGACCTACTTTGGTGAAATCAGTGCCCATTGGTCCATTAGGCAGCTAAGGGAGGTAATTCTGTATATCGAGTTGACACTGGGTCTGCCATTTCGCCAAACTGAAATTAATATGAGACTTTGTCACATGTTTGTTTGTTGTTTAATGTCACACACAGCAATATTCCTGCGAAATAAGTCAGCGAGTCTGACCACCCGATTGTGTCAGTTGCCTCTTACAACAAGCAGTTTCGCCTTTTACGGCAAGCATGGGTTGCTTAAGACCTATTCTTACCCGGATCTTCACCACTGCAGGGCCTTATTCCCCAAAGTGATCTTAGTGTCATGACTATCCCAAGTCAATGTGAAAGTGTGCAGTAAATATAAGCGCAAATGCAGAATCGTTTTGTGGAAGCTAGAGGCTAGATATATAAGTTCTTCTAGGGGTTTTTTTAAGCTACAGTCATCAATATTCTAGCAATACCACTTCACAACAATCAAAAAGTATCAGTAATTTTGTTCACAAAAACATCCAACTTTCTCATATTCTGTCTGAAAAGTTAAGGATCTAAATTCACAAACATATTATCATGAAAGATTCCATGTGTGCATTGACGCACTAGTTACACAGCATAAAACACACTCCATTCAACTTAGTGACCCTTGCAAAATAATTCATCAAGTCATGCCTGATATCACAATGACTCAACATCTCACCACATAACTTCCTGATGTGCATCAGATGTATATATAGTCATGAATCTCTTCTCAGAACTTCTTTCATGGGAAGAGAGCAAGCAACAGAAATGTGTGTGTCACATCTCCTGTCAGAATAGCTTTACAACCATACTGTCATTCTTCCTTGTAGCAACACACATATCATCACACACACATCACCAACACACACACACACAGCTCCTGTCAGAATAGCTTTACAACCATACTGTCATTCTTCCTTGTAGCAACACACATGTCATCACACACACATCACCAACACACACACACACATCACCAACACACAGATCACAAATACACACATCAACACACATATCATCAACACACACATCACCAACAGACACATCACCAACACACACATCACCAACACACATATCATCACACACACACATCACCAACACACACACACATCACCAACACACAGATAGCAAATACACACATCAACACACATATCACAAATACACATATCAACAGACACATCACAAACACACATCATCACCAACACACACATCATCACCAACACACATATCATCAACATACACATCACTAACAAACATATCATCAACAGACACATCACCAACACACATGTCACCAACACACACACACAGCACCAACACACATATCACAAATACACACATCAACAGACACATCACCAACAGACACATCACCAACACACATGATATCATCACACACACATCAACAGACACATCACCAACAGACACATCACCAACACACATATCATCAACACACACATCACCAACACACAGATAACAAATACACACATCAACAGACACATCTCCAACACACAGATCACAAATACACACATCAACAACACACACATCACCAATAGACACACACATCACAAATACACACATCAACTGACACATCACCAACACACACATCACCAACACAATTGTCAATGACACATTACTGGAAATACTATCTCTAAAATAGGTTAATTGTGGAATTAGTTGGCCAAGCACAAGCACCTGCTGCCTCTTCACCATGAAGCCTACGAAGGAACAGTCCCATACCATATCACCTACATTGTACTTCTCTTTATCAATTGAAAATAATGACCAGCTATGTCACTTTTTCTAGTCACAACCGGAATGATGGGAGGAATGACGGCAGCCATTGTTGGACTGATGCTGACCATCTTCGGCTTCATCTTCTACTGGGGAAGGCAAGTGTCGGCCATAGCACTACACTGACAGCCAAATTATTATCTCTATAAGGACAATAGTAACAAAGGAAGATTGAATATGATGTCAAGATACGTCCACAGTTCCAGGACTATTATTCAGAGACAAAATAATAGGGTCATTCATCCTCAGAGAAACAGTTTTGAGGGTCACTATCCCTGAGAGAAACACTTCCATTGTTTATTATTTTTTCCAGACAAAAGTAAATCCTGGGCTTAATTTTCTTAATTGTCCCAGGGAAACAGTTCCATAGCATATTTCCAACAAACATTGTTCCTGGGTTTCTCTGGTTTAATATTTTCACTTCCCAAACTCATTATTCCCAACAAAAATAATTCCAGGGATTAATATCTTTATGAGAAACAGTTCTTTGGTTTATTTATCCTCAGGGAAAGAGTTTCAAGGATCATTATGCCCTTTGAGAAAAACTTCGATAAGTTGTTATTCCCAACAAAAGTACATCCATAAGATTTAATTTTCTCCTGGCTCACTATTCCCCAGAGAAGAAGTTCTCAGCTTGGTATTAAGTAATTCTAGCAGAGTTACCTTAGGCAACCATCCATTCATAATGAATTTTCACTTTCTAAAGTTCAGCAATAGCACAAGTAGTGTTCAGTGTTCCAATTTACCGGTAATTACCAGTTGTTTACCAGTAAAATTAGGCTTGGACCGGTAATTTATGTGACTGCCACTCCCTGTCGACCGGCAAATAAAGTATTTGCTTGTTGTTGAGCAAAACATTGGCGATATTCAATTAAGTATATATTTCGAATTAAGTCAGCTAGTCTGTAGCAATTTAGTCTTGAAATATTCACACAAAAATAGAGAAAATTGTGACCGACCCTTGTGTGAATGACGTGTTGATTGAAATAAGTTACTTCAGAGATGACATCATTGCAATCAAGATGTTGAAAGAATTAAAACCATGTAATTTTCATACGTTTTTATTTGCTGGAAGTTGGGACTGACAAAAATTAGGGGGACTGGTAATTTTTAGTTTCAAGTTTCAGTTTCAAAAGCCAGCGGGAACACTGGTGTTATGTTAAGAAATCGAAATTGATACAGCTACTACACATCTATCATTGATCTATTCACATCTCTTACAGGAGGAGAAGGAAGCTGTCCACCGCCAAGGCCAACAATAGCAGCACCGTCTGGGACTTCCTTCTGGCTCACACTGTGGCTGCTCGCACATTCCGACGAGGCTACGACAACTTTAGCAACAACCGAGAGTCTGTTAGCTCAGAGACAGATGCAACAACAGGAAAAACAACATGGCTGCCCAACATACGCGTGGAACCAAGCCTTGACACACAATCTGTGACATCGGATGACAACTGCAGCATCGTGAACATCAACACCCTCGGCACGATCAGCAGCAGACATGACCGCTCTGAGGCATAGACCTCCAGAGACTGGTAGTTCTTGTGGGCAGAAGAACTACCAATGTCTGATGTCATCTCCACATAAAGAATCAGAACCAGATGCAGGAAAGTCTTGTAATTCACATGATTAACACTTTAAACCAAGGACAGATTGTGATGGGCAACAACTGCTGACAAAAACAGAAACTTTCTGTTGTGAGAACCGTGGATGGTTGTGAGTTTCTTCTCTGACTTGACCCCACATGTAGCTCATCAAAGGTAGCTGTGAGGAGATCCTACCCTCAAGGACAGGGGAGTTCCTACCCTCAAGGACAGGGGACTTCCTACCCTCAAGGACAGAGGACTTCCTACCCTCAAGGAAGGAGGAGTTAGGAGTTCAATCATCCTCCATTACCCAGTGTATTATATCTCCCTTCTATTTTGCTAAATACCCTGGACACATATGCCTCCACAGCTTCATTTTGAGCATGAGCTTCACTGATTCGAATGGCATGACTATAATTAGTCACCCAATCAAATTACTCTCATGCGTGAGAGAAATTCTGTGCAAAATAAGATAGGAGAGTGTGATAGGAGTTATCAAGATGGTGATGTCACTTCTGAAACAAGGCTATCGCTCTACATGTTATAGTAGTGTCGATAAAGCTTTTTAATTATTAAGCACATCCATGCACAAATGACATCTAAGCACATCCAAATGACATCCATGCACATCCAAACGACATCCATGCACATCTAAATGACATCCAAACTACATCTATGCACATCCAAATGACATCCATGCACATCCAAATGACATCCAAACGACATCCATGCACATCTGAATGACATCCATGCACATCTAAACGACATCCATGCACATCTAAACGACAGCCATGCACATCTAAATGACATCCAAACTACATCTATGCACATCCAAATGACATCCATGCACATCCAAATGACATCCAAACGACATCCATGCACATCTGAATGACATCCATGCACATCTAAACGACATCCATGCACATCTAAACGACAGCCATGCACATCGAAATGACATCCATGCACATCTAAACGATATCCAAATGACATCCATGCACATTCAAATGACATCTGAGCATATCCAAATGACATCTAGGCACATCCAAATGACACCATGCACATTCAAATGACATCTAAGCACATCCAAATGACATCTACACACAAATGTTTATAAGAATTTCCATATTACGTGGTTTACATGGTGTACAGGTATTTTCATAAAATATATGTTTAAAAATAACAATGCAAAATTATCTATTTCAGAGTAAGCTTAATTAAGCAAATTAAGAAAATGTAATGAAAGAAACTGAGCTAGGGGTGATTCTTTAAAAGATGAGTGTCAATGATGTATGTCACTTTCCAGACTGATCTACTTCAAAATGTTGTTTCTATTTCTAAAAAGTTGTTGACAGATTCAGCATCAGTAAAAAGGTTTCAGATCTCAAAATGTTAAATTTGTTTTTTGATCCGTTAAAAACAAAATGAAGAAAATGCCTTAAAGGTCATCACCCACATTTGTATGTGTAAATATGTTTTACTCCTGTTTTCTGTTGTATATATTGTTGACATTGGGAGACCAAGTCTCATAACATGTTGGTATATTGACTGTAAATACATCTGTCCAACAGATTGCTTTGTGCATACAGCTTATGAAAAGGTTAAGGTTTCAGATGGGCCTGATACACAGCAACTCGGAAAACTTCATTCACTGCCTAATATGTAATCAGTAAAATCTACAGAGACTGTGTCATGGCAGACCTGATCCAAATGAAGAAATATTCTACTTTGCTGTGTCCGGAGGACTAAATGGCAACATCTTGCATTTCATTTTTGTTAAAGAACTTGTTAACTGTGAACATGATATCTCATACATTATCACTGATTCTCAACATTGTTTGAGTGAGTTTGGCTTGATGCTGATGTGAACAGTATTTTCTACACCTCACAGCATGTTGCCTCGATCATGAACACCACAAGCCTGGATAGGATGCTGTCATACCAAGGATCATTAAAACCCACACATATCATCCAGTGCATCCTGGCATAGCTATTGTGATTGTCAACAGTTAGTCTAGGTGTCTTGGACTGCTGGCCACCGATGCCTTCCCCACAACCAGTATCCTGGCATAGCTATGGTGACTGTCCACATTGAGTCGCAGTGTCTTGGACTGCTGGCCACCGATGCCTTCCCCACAACCAGTATCCTGGCATAGCTATGGTGACTGTCCACATTGAGTCGCAGTGGCTTGGACTGCTGGCCACCGATGCCTTCCCCACAACCAGTATCCTGGCATAGCTATGGTGACTGTCCACATTGAGTCGCAGTGGCTTGGACTGCTGGCCACCGATGCCTTCCCCACAACCAGTATCCTGGCATAGCTATGGTGACTGTCCACAGTGAGTCGCAGTGGCTTGGATTGCTGGCCACCAATGCCTTCCCCACAACCAGTATCCTGGCATAGCTATTGTGACTGTCCACAGGGAGTCTAGGTGTCTTGGATTGCTGGCCACTGATGCCTTCCCCACAACCAGTATCCTGGCATAGCTATTGTGACTGTCCACAGTGAGTCGCAGTGGCTTGGATTGCTGGCCACCAATGCCTTCCCCACAACCAGTATCCTGGCATAGCTATTGTGACTGTCCACAGTGAGTCGCAGTGGCTTGGATTGCTGGCCACCAATGCCTTCATCACAACCAGGATCCTGGCATAGCTATTGTGACTGTCCACAGTGAGTCTCGGTGGCTTGGATTGTTGGCCACCAATGCCTTCCCCACAACCAGTATCCTGGCATAGCTATTGTGACTGTCCACAGTGAGTCTAGGTGTCTTGGATTGCTGGCCACCGATGCCTTCCCCACAACCAGTATCCTGGCATAGCTATTGTGACTGTCCACAGTGAGTCTAGGTGTCTTGGATTGCTGGCCACCGATGCCTTCCCCACAACCAGTATCCTGGCATAGCTATTGTGACTGTCCACAGTGAGTCTCGGTGGCTTGGATTGTTGGCCACCAATGCCTTCCCCACAACCAGTATCCTGGCATAGCTATTGTGACTGTCCACAGTGAGTCTAGGTGTCTTGGATTGCTGGCCACCGATGCCTTCCCCACAACCAGTATCCTGGCATAGCTATTATGACTGTCCACAGTGACTCTAGGTGTCTTGGATTGCTGGCCACCAATGCCTTCCCCACAACCAGTATCCTGGCATGGCTAGTGTGACTGTCCACAGGGAGTCTCAGTGGCTTGGATTTCTGGGCCACCAATGACATCCCCACAACCAGTATCCTGGCATAGCTATTGTGACTGTCCACAGGGAGTCTCGGTGGCTTGGACTGCTGGGCCACCAATGCCTTCCATCCTCTCTTTAACACAGTTCATAAACCCAGGACAAATTGTAATAACAGTGCATGGTCTGTGACATGTATGAATGAGTGAGTTTGGTTTTACACCACTTTTATCAATATTGCAGCAATATCACAGCGGGGGACACCTGAAATGGGCTTCACACATTGTACCCATGTCGGGAATCGAACCCTGGTCTTCAGTGTGACGAGCGAACGCTTTGACCAGTAGGCTACCCGACTGCCCTGTGACATGTATGAGGTGACATATAAACATGTTTGTGTGTATCAGGCTGATCACAAACTCATTATTACATATGCAGAGAATGAAGTTTCTTATATGGAATAAACATGTTAATGCTGAATTACATGAGTTTTTCTCTTGAGATCTTTCTTCTAATACATTGTGCATGCGTGAGTGTGAATGAGTCTGTGGGTTTGACGCAGCTTTTAACAGTATTTCAGTTATATCATGGCATGTCACCTTAACGTGGGAGGCAAGCCCCAAGAGATGCGCTTACTACTTTGGTGAAACCACGACAGACCTGGAAACATTATTAGGGTGAACCAGGATTGGAACCCACAATCATAGGAACAATAGACATCATTGTGTGCCTCAATAGCCCTAAGTGCAACAATCTCATTAAAATCAGATCTTAGTTCTCGCTACCGCTAAACAAAGATCTAAGGACACCCTATTACGGGTCACGTCAGAACGACCTTTCATGAACTTAAACTGACCAATGGAATGACTGACAAGAAGTCGACATTGGTCAATCAGAAGGCAGCTTTCTCGTGCTTTACGGCACTAATTTCAAATTGGCGACTACGCTTCGAAACATCTTTTGACAAATTCTAGATTAAAAATTTGAAACCTGAGCAAAAGAACATTCTCGAAAGGCTATTAGATGGTCTAGATTGTATGGATTCAGTCGTTAAGCCCGTAACTATCGTTCAGAATACCCCGTGTTTAGCAATCACATTCCGACTGTCACTTTCATGATCTGGTAAGCGGCGCTCTGATTGGTCGGATGAAAGGTCGTTCTGACGTGACCCCTAATAGGATGTCCTCAGATCTTTGTTTTGCGGTAGTGAGAACTAAGATCTGATTTTAATGAGATTGTAAGTGCAAGAGATTAAACTCAGTTGATAAGCTGATGTTGACTCTATAGCACTCACCGGAAAGAAGTGAGGCTCTCACAAATTGGCAAGGTAAAGAGCTGGATGCTGATTGTTGGTTCTATTGTCAACTAGTTGTGTGTATTTGACAGTGAAGAGGACTTCTGTTGAAAATTCTGAAGATTAGTTTCGTGTGATTGCAACCAAAATACAGGATTTATGGCAAAGATGAAAAAGAGGTAGAGGCGAATTGCAACACCTTATATGAAGGACTTTGACGAGTCCAAATTTATTACCCAGGTACCCACCCCCCTATTACCAGACCCGACCTGGATATCCGATGTAGGTCTCAAGAGCTGGGTACAAAATGTCCCATAGGGAATAGTTTGACCGTAGCCCTGTACAAACATATAAAAGTCAAAAGGAATGGGTGCATAGTCAGAAAGAAATGTGAACATTAGTGACTTGTAGTGTAACCATATAGTTCCAGATCATTTTTGTCATTAAACAATATATCACTATACTGACCACTGGTCCGGCTAGTCCTGTGGGTACCCGGGTCCTTCTCAGTACCCACCCGACCCGAGTACCCCAGTTACCCGTCCCAGCCCTACTTAGATGACTGGGCAGCCAGTGAGTGCAGGTGAGGGATGAGGGTGTGTCAATAAGTCCACCCATCTCAGATGGTAGACTTCTGATTTACACACCAAGACCCTAATTACATTGCGACCAGCATCTGGATTCAAGCTGGACAAAGCAGAAATTTGGAGGTTGCACAGTGATTACATTCTGGGAACAGTTACAATCAACACCACTTAAAAAAATCAATTCTCTATTCACAATTTGAAAATTAATTCACACCCTTTTAAAAGTAAAATTCTTGAAATGTTATACTTGAATATTCATTTAACAGTAAAGCGTTAAGTGTCAGCTCCAATGGAAGGGTATACCCAGGGTTATACATATACAGAGGATTACAAGGCTGTCTGGTGCAGTGTCTATAAAATACCTTGTACCACTGATCCCTTAGGGTACCCATTCCAGAACCATGCATATGGACCCTAAGACTGCAATCAGTTTAATTAGTCCTTCTGGGTATTCATTCTACAGCTAGATGAATAAGGTTCAATGGTAAACTATCTAAGAATAATGCACACAATGTCTCTAATGTAGGAAAATATCAATAAACATCATAAAAGATGCATTTAAGCGATGGGAACAAGATCATACCTACCATCATAGGTACACATCTCAGCATTTACTAGGACGTTCATAAACACTTGTCTAATTCGGTCACTAAACCAGTCAGTACTTAACAAATCATCAGATCAGCACACACGGTTTCAATGGTCCTGTGGTTACATAGAGCTAATGTTAATAATGCATCTTTCAGCAGCGTCTGATTACAGATATTTAGCCATACAATTTATACATATATTTGTCACTTCACAATTAAAGATGGCTTTCTGTCTACACATGTACCAGGACTGTACGTTTTGAAGCTCTCTCATTATTTAAAACCTGGGTTAAAAAATAGGCAAAATCCATAATTAAGCCCAGGGTTTAAAAGCATGCAGTCCTCGTAGCAATAACATATAATTTAATGCATTCTGCCAATGCTGAAAAATAATTATACTGTATTGAGCCCGCTGCACATGGAAGCACTCACTTACCAATGTCTTGCATCAATCTGTATGGCATATTCATATGCACCTTTTACTAAGAACACACAATGCCATTTAGAAAGTGGTCAAATGTAACAAATGTTATATTTGGGATAACACTTTCTTAGTACAGTACAGAATCTCGTACTTTTTTTTCGAATCCGGGATGGGACTCAGCCCCCAAATAAGTACAAGAATCTGTACTTTACTAAGAAAGTGTTAACCCAAATATAACATTTGTCACCTTTTACTAAGCCTGGAAATTTACATGACAGTTTGTATTTCCATTTTTCATGTTTTACAGAAAGCAGCAGCATAGGAGCTTTCCTTCTGATATTGAAAACAATATTTGTTCCATCAATGTTTGAACACTATTTGTTATTACTGCTCAGTCTCTGACAACAAATTTATCCGGTTGTGTATAATGGTGCTTATTACGGTAAATATGGTACCCAAGATTCTACATTTACATATTTTTAACCATGTGGATTCATGCTTACACACCTTACTTAATTAATTATTGTCTGTTAAACAGACTATACTGCTACCTCTCAACAGGCACATCAATATTTTATATGTTTTTTTTCTATTTGACTTCTCATCAATCACTGCAACCATTTTGTTTTTTATCAGTAATTTTCACCAGTTCGCACTAATGATCTGTTAGATCATCTGCCATCGAACCTGGTAGTCCACAAGGCAATGCTGCTGTCCTTTCTGAAATTAACTGGTCTCAGATGAGCAGGCTTATTTCAAAGCACGTAATGCCTCCTACTTGAGAAATTTAATCCTGCATCATGGCTGCAGAATATCTGCATGTAATTTAATAAAAAGCACTCTAGATGATTAAAACGGGCAAATCCATCTAGCTATATTCCACATGATATCAGCAGTTGAAAAAATTAAGAGAGAAATTGATTGTATAAAACAAAACTTTCATAGACAATGTGTTGTTCTAAGTTGGTTGGTTGGTTTGTTGTTTAACGCCACACTCAGCAATATTCGAGCTATATGACGGCGGTATGTAAATAATCGAGTCTGGACCAGACAATCCAGTGATTGATATCATGAGCATCGATCCACGCAATTGGGATCGATGACACGCATCAACCAAGTCAGCGAGCCTGACCACCCGATCCCGTTAGTCACCTTTTACGACAAGCATATAGTCACCTTTTACGGCAAGCATGGGTTGCTGAAGACATATTCTACCCCGAAATCTGTTGGTCTAAGAAAAACTTTAAACCAAGTACAACAAAGATAACATTTGTTGATTTGAGTGAGTGAGTTGGGTTTAACGCTGCTTTTAACAGTATTACAGTTATATCGCAGCGTGTCAGCTTAATGTGAGAGGAAAGGCCGAAGTCATGCAGGTCTCAGACGTTTACCACTTCGGTGAAACCGACGAGCATGGGTATGGTGCTGACAAACCTAGAAACATAATCGGGGCGAACCGGGATTTGAACCCACAATCATAGGCTTCTGGCGTGCCCAAGGGACGCAACTCTGGACAGGGAATCGCGGCGCCTTAGACGACTGGGCCACCCGTGTCCCCATATTGCTTTGATTTACTAAGTGTTCTCTTGAAACATTACAGCGCTTCCATCAGCACATACTGTTGGTTTTAATCAGTCTGTAAACAGATATATATAGATGTAAACAACAGTGGCAAATATCTCAAATTACTTGTTTGATAAGCATTTCTTAGAAATTGACGGATGACAAAGTAGACACAATTTATGGATAACAACTTCTATATTTTACTGTAATGGGGATGTTTCGGTATAAACCCGTTGTCTTGCTTGACAATGCTACAAGGATCTATAACGAAACGTTGCCATTACAGTAAAATAAAAAAGTTGTTATCCATAAATAGTGTCTACTTTGTTATCACAAATTAGGGGCGGTCGGGTAGCCTAGTGGTTAAAGCGTTCGCTCGTCACGCCGAAGACCCGGGTTCGATTCCCGACATGGGTACAATGTGTGAAGCCCATTTCTGGTGTCCCCCGCCGTGATATTGCTGGAATATTGCTAAAAACGGCGTAAAAGCATACTCACTCACTCACTCACTCACTTATCACAAATTATCTAAAAAATATACACCACAGACTTGGAAACCAACAGATATTATCTGATAATTCGTAGTGAAGTCTTTCAAGCAGAAGAGTGTCAGGGATCACACAATACCAACAAGCCAAGACAGGCTAATTGTCTGAGAATCATAAGCTAGACAGGTGACCCACTTCCCCGTTGAAATAAGTCAGGTGTCTACTGAATCGTGACCCACACAGCCATGGAGAGACTGTACCAACACTTCGACTGAAAGACACCACCAGCCAGCCTTGTACAGTCAGTATCATACATGGTATTCTATACATCGAGCGTGCACAGTTCTCCAAACTGCATGATCACGAAAAGGGAACTATAAATACCCCACAAACTTGTTGGGTAGCATGACAAGGCTGTATGCTTTCACAACAAAACAGGGCGACAGGGAGACCTTGTACAGTCAGTATCATACATGGTATTCTATACATCGAGCGTGCACAGTTCTCCAAACTGCATGATCACGAAAAGGGAACTATAAATACCCCACAAACTTGTTGGGTAGCATGACAAGGCTGTATGCTTTCACAACAAAACAGGGCGACAGGGAGACCTTGTGTCCAACACTGAACTTGCAGCACAACATGACAGTTTGATGGTGTTGTGTTTATACACCAAAACACAATACTGCTGTGATATTGCATGGTTCTGTACTGACAAGTGTCAAGCGGAGCTGCAAATCTGGACAGAATAACAGTGTGGAGACAGACCATGTCATGACAAGTTATTGTACCCTCCTATTGTACATGACCAGACCCGATCTAATGTAAGAAATGTGACTGACATAAGGCGGATTGCTTTCTCTGATCCCTGATCCAGTACCTCTGGCCTACAGCATCTACATAGCGTCCTCATCATTCCAACCAGGAACCGGAGAATAAGTTCATTGTATTTCTCCACTGGAGCTGAGATGAGCTGAGATGAGCTGAGATGAGCTGAGATGAACATGTTGTTTCGTAACCACTTGATTCTGAAACCATCGTTTCATGTTACGTGTACTGGAAACATTTATGGCGCATGTTGTATGAACTGAGTTTGTAGCATCTTCCTAGTTTATCCGAGATACACATGACTGGACAGATTTAATGACCGACCTCTCTCACAGCCCGGGACAAGATGACACTCACTGTGTTGGTAACATTCTGTCTTCTCCTCATCGTACAGTGTGGTAAGTTGATGAATATAGGAGTTTGGCTGGTTCCTGGTATTTTCATAAGTTTACTCTGTAGGTAGAATATAACACGAGCTTAACAACTCTATTTTACCTAAGTAAAAACAAGGTTTTCCAATGTTAGCAATATTACAGTTATAACCACTCTCAACTATGTACAACACATCAACATAACGTTTCAGTGATAAGAACTATGTTGAAACATCTCAATAATGTTTCAGCGATGACAACTATGTTGAACACATCTACATAACGTTTCAGTGATAACAACTATGTACAACACATCTACATAATGTTTCAGTGATAACAACTATGTACAACACATCTACATAATGTTTCAGTGATAACAACTATGTACAACACATCTACATAATGTTTCAGTGATAACAACTATGTACAACACATCTACATAATGTTTCAGTGATAACAACTATGTTGAACACATCAACATAATGTTTCAGTGATAACAACTATGTACAACACATCTACATAATGTTTCAGTGATAACAACTATGTACAACACATCTACATAATGTTTCAGTGATAACAACTATGTACAACACATCTACATAACGTTTCAGTGATAACAACTATGTACAACAGATCTACATAACGTTTCAGTGATAACAATTATGTACAACACATCTACATAATGTTTCAGTGATAACAACTATGTACAACACATCTACATAATGTTTCAGTGATAACAACTATGTACAACACATCTACATAATGTTTCAGTGATAACAACTATGTTGAACACATCAACATAATGTTTCAGTGATAACAACTATGTACAACACATCTACATAATGTTTCAGTGATAACAACTATGTACAACACATCTACATAATGTTTCAGTGATAACAACTATGTACAACACATCTACATAATGTTTCAGTGATAACAACTATGTTGAACACATCAACATAACGTTTCAGTGATAACAACTATGTACAACACATCTACATAATGTTTCAGTGATAACAACTATGTACAACCAACTACATAATGTTTCAGTGATAACAACTATGTACAACACATCTACATAATGTTTCAGTGATAACAACTATGTACAACACATCTACATAATGTTTCAGTGATAACAACTATGTACAACACATCTACATAATTTCAGTGATGACAACTATGTACAACACATTTACGTAATGTTTCAGTGATGACAATTATGTAGAACACTTCTGTGTAATGTTTCACTGATGACAACTCTGTACAACACATCCACGTAATGTTTCAGTGATGACAAATATGTACAAATCATCTACATGTTTCAGTGATGACATCTATGTACAATACATCTTCGAAATGTTTCAGTGATGACAACTATGTACAAATCATCTATTTCATGTTTCAGTGATGACAACTCTGTACAACACATTTACGTAATGTTTCAGTGATGACAACTATGTACAAATCATCTATTTCATGTTTCAGTGATGACAACTCTGTACAACACATCTACATCATGCTTCAGTGGTAGTGAAAGGAATGAACAGATAACCGCCAGCTGCCAGCTCAACACAACGACTGAGGTTGGGATCATTGCTGTTCACAGACAGTTTTTTGGAGTCAAACCATACAGCAATATGTGCCAGAGTACAGACAATGCCTCTGTGTGCTGCAGCCACAATGACGCAGACTGTGTCCTGGTCTCTGTCGCTGGACAGCTCCCAGATGCGACCATCGCAGGATGCTCCGGCCAGAGGGAATGTCTGATCCAGGCCAAGAAGAAGTTTACTGGCTCTTGTCCCAAGAACAACCTCTTCCCTAGCTTTACTACATATGGCCACATGGAGTACGAGTGTATCAATGGTAAGTTGTTCAACACATGAAGTACCAGTGTATCAATGGTAAGTTGTTCAACACATGAAGTACGAGTGTATCAATGGTAAGTGGTTCAACACATGGAGTACGAGTGTATCAATGGTAAGTGGTTCAACACATGGAGTACGAGTGTATCAATGGTAAGTGGTTCAACACATGGAGTACGAGTGTATCAATGGTAAGTGGTTCAACACATGGAGTACGAGTGTATCAATGGTAAGTGGTTCAACACATGGAGTACGAGTGTATCAATGGTAAGTGGTTCAACACATGGAGTACGAGTGTATCAATGGTAAGTGGTTCAACACATGGAGTACGAGTGTATCAATGGTAAGTGATTAAACACATGATGGAGTATGGCCAGATGGAGTATGAGTGTATCAATGGTAAGTGGTTCAACACATGGAGTATGAGTGTATCAATGGTAAGTGGTTCAACACATTGAGTACGAGTGTATCAATGGTAAGTGGTTAAACACATGGTGGAGTATGGCCACATGGAGTACGAGTGTATCAATGGTAAGTGGTTCAACACATGGAGTACGAGTGTATCAATGGTAAGTGGTTCAACATGGAGTACGAAAGCATCAATGGTAAGTGGTTCAACACATGGAGTACGAGTGTATCAATGGTAAGTGGTTCAACACATGGAGTACGTGTGTATCAATGGCAAGTGGTTCCACACATGGAGTACGAGTGTATCAATGGTAAGTGGTTCAACACATGATGGAGTATGGCCACATGGAGTACGAGTGTATCAATGGTAAGTGGTTAAACACATGGTGGAGTATGGCCACATGGAGTACGAGTGTATCAATGGTAAGTGGTTCAACACATGGAGTACGAGTGTATCAATGGTAAGTGGTTCAACATGGAGTACGAAAGCATCAATGGTAAGTGGTTCAACACATGGAGTACGAGTGTATCAATGGTAAGTGGTTCAACACATGGAGTACGTGTGTATCAATGGCAAGTGGTTCAACACATGGAGTACGAGTGTATCAATGGTAAGTGGTTCAACACATGATGGAGTATTGCCACATGGAGTACGAGTGTATCAATGGTGAGTGGTTCAACAATTGATGGAGTATGGCCACATGGAGTACGAGTGTATCAATGGTAAGTGGTTCCACACATGGAGTACGAGTGTATCAATGGTAAGTGGTTCAACACATGGTGGAGTATGGCCACATGGAGTACGAGTGTATCAATGGTAAGTGGTTCAACACATGGAGTATGAATGTATCAATGGTAAGTGGTTCAACACATGGAGTACGAGTGTATCAATGGTAAGTGGTTCAACACATGGAGTATGTGTGTATCAATGGCAAGTGGTTCAACACATGGAGTACTAGTGTATCAATGGTAAGTGGTTCAACACATGATGGAGTATGGCCACATGGAGTATGAGTGTATCAATGGTAAGTGGTTCAACACATGGAGTACGAGTGTATCAATGGTAAGTGGTTCAACACATGGAGTACGAGTGTATCAATGGTAAGTGGTTCAACACATGATGGAGTATGGCCACATGGAGTACGAGTGTATCAATGGTAAGTGGTTCAACACATGATGGAGTATGAGTGTATCAATGGTAAGTGGTTCAACACATGGAGTACGAGTGTATCAATGGTAAGTGGTTCAACACATGGAGTACGAGTGTATCAATGGTAAGTGTTTCAACACATGGAGTACGAGTGTATCAGTGGTAAGTGGTTCAACACATGGAGTACGAGTGTATCAATGGGAAGTGGTTCAACATATGGAGTACGAGTGTATCAATGGGAAGTGGTTCAACACATGGAGTATGGCCACATAGAGTACGAGTGTATCATTGGTAAGTGGTTCAACACATGGAGTACGAATGCATCAATGGTAAGTGGTTCAACACATGGACTACGAATGCATCAATGGTAAGTGGTTCAACACATGGACTACGAATGCATCAATGGTAAGTGGTTCAACACATGGACTACGAATGCATCAATGGTAAGTGGTTCAACACATGGAGTATGAGTGCATCAATGGTTAGTGGTTCAACACATGGACTACGAATGCATCAATGGTAAGTGGTTCAACACATGGAGTACCAGTGTATCAATGGTTAGTGGTTCAACACATGGAGTATGAGTGCATCAATGGTAAGTGGTTCAACACATGGAGTATGAGTGTATCAATGGTAAGTGGTTCAACACAAGGAGTATGAGTGCATCAATGGTAAGTGGTTCAACACATGGAGTATGAGTGCATCAATGGTAAGTGGTTCAACACACGGAGTATGAGTGCAACAATGGTAAGTGGTTCAACACATGGAGTACGAGTGTATCAATGGTAAGTGGTTCAACACATGGAGTATGAGTGCATCAATGGTAAGTGGTTCAACACATGGAGTATGAGTGCATCAAGGGTAAGTGGTTCAACACATGGAGTATGAGTGCATCAATGGTAAGTGGTTCAACACATGATGGAGTATGGCCAAATGGAGTACGAGTGTATCAATGGTAAGTGGTTCAACACATGGAGTATGAGTGCATCAATGGTAAGTGGTTCCACACATGGAGTATGAGTGTATCAATGGTAAGTGCTTCAACACATGGAGTACGAGCGTATCAATGGTAAGTGGTTCAACACATGGAGTATGAATGCATCAATGGTAAGTGGTTAAACACATGGAGTATGAGTGTATCGATAGTAAGTGGTTCAACACATGGAGTATGAATGCATCAATGGTAAGTGGTTAAACACATGGAGTATGAGTGTATCAATGGTAAGTGGTTCAACACATGGAGTATGAGTGTATCAATGGTAAGTGGTTCCACACATGGAGTATGAGTGTATCAATGGTAAGTGGTTCCACACATGGAGTACGAGTGTATCAATGGTAAGTGGTTCAACACATGGAGTACTTCAAGCATGACAAAGTAAACACAACACAGGGATTATTGATGCAGAGTGGTAAATAGAGCTCAATAAAGTTAGTGAATGTGTTCAAAGATGATGAGTGGACACACAAGAATAAAGCACAAATTTGCATTTGTTTCACATTCACTTGGTGCATGTAGACATACTTACTGGGTTGCATTTTTCAATAATAGGTTGCACTGATGCATGTTCTGTACAGCTAAATCAAGCCCTGAAACCCCTTTGCACTACACATCAGAAAGACCTTTCACGACCTTTGACCGAATATGAGGAGAGGTGAGGTGAAATGGGGTTTAATGGGGTCCAAGATTATTGCACTTATATCGACGTGCATGCACGTGTATGTGTGTGTGTGTGTGTGAACCCCGGACCTTCCGCTCTCCGGGCAGACGCTCTACCATTAGACCACGGAGATGGTCTGACCGAATATGAAATGACTAACAAGAAGTTGACATTAGCCAAACTGAAAGCAGTTTTCTTGAGGTACACGGCACTAGTTTCAAACTGGCACTTTGAAAACTATTTTGACAAAGTTCTTCAGAATTTTGAACTTGAAAACTGAACAAAATATAATTCTGGAATATCTGAAAGATGGCAGTACTTCCCAAAGGCTGAAGAAAGTCTCTCCCGTTTCAAATGTTTACTCAATTGAAGAGAGAGATAGAAGATGATTTTAACAGAATCAGTCATACAGCCCGTAACTGTCATTCGGAATAACCCATGTAGATCTTTTTGAGGTTGAATGATTAGATACCACATTCTGTCTGTCACTTTCCCAATCTGGTAAGCAACATTTACACTGGTCAGATGAAAGGTCGTTCTTATGTGACTTTTCATGGGATGTCCTCAGATCTTTGTTTAGCGGTAACAAGAACTAAGATCTGACTTCCATGAGATCAGTGGCAAGTGGCTCTTCACAGGATCCTGGTCATGTTTGGGGCTGTCACCTGACATGTATGAGCATGTGTTAGTGCTAAAGAAGGAGACATTTGCCCTGGGAGTCAAGATGATACATCAACATGGTCATAGACCCCAAGAAAACTTAGACAGCTGTGGATACAATCTGAAAGACCCCGACCACCTAAGAAATTGAATGAAGAGTTGCATTCATTAGCCATGCCACAATCCTGCATATGAGGGTGAGTGAGTAAGGTTTTACGCTGTTTTGAGCAATATTCCAGCAATATCACAGCGGGGGACACCACAAATGGGCTTCACACATTGTACCCATGTCGGGAATCGAACCCGAGTCTTCGGCGTGACGAGCAAACGCTTTAACCACTAGGCTACCCGACCGCCCCTCCTGCATATCAATTTGCCCTTATAATCTTTCTAGGTTTGTCAGCAACATACCTGAGATTGTGTGTATCACTTAAGTGGTAAACATCTAAGATCTGCATCACTTCAGGCTTTCCTCACACATCAAGCAGACACACTGTAAAAGAACTGAAATACTGTTCAAAGGGAGTGAAACCCAACTCACTCACTCGCTCACTCTTGTGACCTTGTGCTTTCAAATTGAAAGCCATTAATCTAACAAATCACCTCAAAGGTGCAAATATCATAAGTTGTAGAAGGATCACAAGGGATACATGAGGTTTTATGTTTCCAGCGTTAGGTTTTAAAACCCCGAGTGATCCTGCTGCAACTCCGACTTCCACTGACTTGGAAAAGCATGCAGCTTTTTGCTTTGATGCTGGGTATAAGGGATTTATTCTGCCTCACAGAAATCCACTGGCAGCCGGACTTGCTCGTGGTGGGGAATAAGGGATTTATTCGCCCGCTGAGAAATTTATTCCCCTCCAAGGCGGGATACATATCTTATCAAGATCGCGTGGACCAATCAGATCTCATCATTCTGACATGGAGGTATGATAATCTCTGTTTTAGTGGGACTCCTGACAGACATGTGCCATGACGGCATCATCAAGAACAACAAGAACCTGTACCTGTCCAGCAACATCTACCACCTGAACACAGAGCACCAAGACAGGACCTGCTCCTGCACCGCAACCACAACGTGTGGGGAGACTATAGACGTAGAGGCTGTTGACGTCCGGCTGCACCGAACCGCGAGCTCCTGCACGGAGAACCTCCTCATCCTGGACAACCGCAACACCACCCACAACAACACCATCACATGTTACAACACAAGCCTCAACGGGCTCGTCAGCATTTTCACCAGCCAATCAAACAGTCTCACCTTGAACTTGACTATCAGTGGCAAACATACAGGAAAAGTCTGGATAAAAATAAAAGGTAAAGTTTTCAACTGTTGCCTGATACCCTGAAATTGAACCATCTTTACTCCTGAAATTGTTTTCACAGGGTTTTATCTAGGATTCTTAACTAAGTGCCCTTGGCATACAAAATGGGAAAAAATAATTATTTTCTTAACATTGCAATAATTGTAAAAATCTGTGATGAACAGTTACCTCTATCCGTCACCTAAAAATAATACCTGTAGAATAGGTCTTCAGCAAACCATGCTTGCTGTAAAAGGCGACTATGCTTTTCGGAAAAGGCGACTAATGGGACCGGGTGGTCAGGCTCGCAGACTTGGTTGATGCATGTCATTATATCCAAATTGCGTCGATCAATGCTCATGATGTCAATCACTGGACCCGTTCAGACGCGATCATTTACAGACTGCGGTCATATAGCTGGAATATTGCAGAGTGTGGCATTAAACTATGAACAAACCTAAAAGAAGCCATGACTTTAGTTAAAACTATATAACCATAGGTGTTTCACCTCTGTAAGAAGAAAACTTTAAAAAACTCAAAATATTTTTCAGTACTTTTGTACCTACCTACAACCGATATCAATCAAACTATTTGAAACATAAGATTTGCCTCATCCTATTATCATTCCTTGCCAATAATGCAAAATGATCCAGGGAATTGTTACATGGTGCCTTGCAAAAAAATAACTCGACCAATTAGTCAAATCTTGTCTTATTTTGCTTCACTGTCTTGAAAATAGTAGGCAAAGTAGGCTGATGCTGAGAATGACCAAAGTTCACTGATGTGGATTTTCCTTATTACCTATAATGCCCACATTGTCTTTCAACCTCCATGACATGACTGTTCTGGCAGGGACATCACCAAACACCACTGTGGCTCTCAAGTGTGGAGCAACTAGCCAAATCACCACTGACCCCAGCCACCTCTGTCCAGGGGACTTGACAACAACGCCACCAACAACAACAACAACTACTACAACAACAACAACAACAACACCTACAACAACAACAACACCTACAACAACAACAACACCTACAACAACAACAACACCTACAACGCCACCAACAACAACAACTACTACAACAACAACAACAACAACACCTACAACAACAACAACACCTACAACAACAACAACACCTACAACAACAACAACAACAACACCTACTACAACGACAAGTAAGTCACACTCACTCTGTACATTTTAAGACCATAGGCTAGCTGCAATGAAGGTAATCCTTAAAATGAAAATATTTGAAGAGTTTGATGTTAAATTGACTTTTAATTTAAACCAGAAATGAGCCCAGACAGTAAGGCTGGGTTGAGTAGTCCAAATTTACTACCCGGGTACCCACCAGCCTATTACCCGACCCTACCTGGGTACCAACCACCCTATTACCCGACCCTACCTGGGTACCCACCACCCTATTACCCGACCCTACCCGGGGACCCACCACCCTATTACCTGACCCTACCCGGGGACCCACCACCCTATTACCTGACCCTACCTGGGTACCCACCACCCTATTACCTGACCCTACCTGGGTACCCACCACCCTATTACCTGACCCTACCCGGGTACCCACCACCCTATTACCTGACCCTACCCAGGTACCAACCACCCTATTTCCCGACCCTATCCAGGTACCCAGCTCCCTATTACCCGACCCTACCCGGGGACCCACCACCCTATTACCTGACCCTACCCGGGTACCCACCACCCTATTTCCCGACCCTACCCGGGGACCCATTACCCTATTACCTGACCCTACCCGGGTACCCACCACCCTATTACCCGACACTACCCGGGTACCCACTGTAGATATTTAGAGATAGGTACAAACTGTCAGATTTGGAAAAGTTTGACCTCAGCCCTGGCAAACTGTATTTATATACATGTGTGAAACGAGTTGGCCATGGATACACTGATGTTTATTGCATGAAGTTTTATCTTTATTCAAACATATAAAAGCCAGAAGGAATGGGTACATTGTCAGGAAGAAAAGGGAACATTACAACATTAGTGACTTATAGTGTAACCATAGAGTTCCAGATAATTTTTGTCATTAAAAAATATATCATGTGACTAAATACGGGTCCGGGTAGTCCTGTGGGTACCCGGGTCCTACGCAGGACCCACCCGACCCGAGTACCCGAGTTATCCGTCCCAGCCTTACCAGACAGTCTCTTCATTTTCAGAAACTGAAGAAATCTAGACAAAGTTTTGAAGACTTGGGAATTTTCAGATATTTCAGGAATTTGAGCCTGTTCATGCCTAGCAGTGTTACACTGATGAACAGTAGTTGATGTCATAAATTCAGACACTGTAAGACACATGACATCCCTTGTTATAAGATAAGACTTGTGTCTTTTCAGGCTGGGACAAGTCCAAATTTACTACCCGGGTACCCAACCCCCCATTACCCGACCCAACCTGGGTACCCGCAGAGGGTTTTATGAGTTGGGTGTATAGAATGTCCAATTGCGAATTGTTTTACTAGAGCGCTGGCAAAATCTATTTGGATACACATATGAAAAGATCTGATCATGCATGCAATGAAGCTGACTGAAGATTTATCTTTTAAACTCTAACATTTAAACGTCAGAAGGTATGCATACATAGTCAGAAAGAAATGCGAACATTAACGACATTATGTTGTTTAACCTTGGAGTTTTTAGGCCTATTGTTACTGTTGTTAAAAAATATATCACATGACTAATCATGGGTCCGGGTAGCACTGTAGGTGCCGAGGTCCTACTCAGGACCCACCCGACCCGAGTACCCAAGCTACCTGTCCCAGCCCTAGTGTCTTTGCCTGCTCACAGATGATGGTTTTCTGGAACCAGGGTCCTACTCAGGACCCATCCGACCCGAGTACCCGAGCTCCCTGTCCCAGCCCTAGTGTCTTTGCCTGCTCACAGATGATGGTTTTCTGGTACCAGGGTCCTACTCAGGACCCACCCGACCCGAGTACCCGAGCTACCTGTCCCAGCCCTAGTGTCTTTGCCTGCTCACAGATGATGGTTTTCTGGTACCAGGGTCCTACTCAGGACCCACCCGACCCAAGTACCCGAGCTCCCTGTCCCTGCCCTAGTGTCTTTGCCTGCTCACAGATGATGGTTTTCTGGTACCAGGGTCCTACTCAGGACCCACCCGACCCGAGTACCCGAGCTACCTGTCCCTGCCCTAGTGTCTTTGCCTGCTCACAGATGATGGTTTTCTGGTACCAGGGTCCTACTCAGGACCCACCCGACCCGAGTACCCGAGCTACCTGTCCCAGCCTTGGTGTCTTTGCCTGCTCACAGATGATGGTTTTCTGGTACCAGGGTCCTACTCAGGACCCACCCGACCCGAGTACCCGAGCTACCTGTCCCTGCCCTAGTGTCTTTGCCTGCTCACAGATGATGGTTTTCTGGTACCAGGGTCCTACTCAGGACCCACCCGACCCGAGTACCCGAGCTCCCTGTCCCAGCCCTAGTGTCTTTGCCTGCTCACAGATGATGGTTTTCTGGTACCAGGGTCCTACTCAGGACCCACCCGACCCGAGTACCCGAGCTACCTGTCCCAGCCTTGGTGTCTTAGCCTGCTCACAGATGATGGTTTTCTGGTACCAGGGTCCTACTCAGGACCCTCCCGACCCGAGTACCCGAGCTACCTGTCCCTGCCCTAGTGTCTTTGCCTGCTCACAGATGATGGTTTTCTGGTACCAGTGTCCTACTCAGGACCCACCCGACCCGAGTACCCGAGCTCCCTGTCCCAGCCCTAGTGTCTTTGCCTGCTCACAGATGATGGTTTTCTGGTACCAGGGTCCTACTCAGGACCCACCCGACCCGAGTACCCGAGCTCCCTGTTCCAGCCCTAGTGTCTTTGCCTGCTCACAGATGATGGTTTTCTGGTACCAGGGTCCTACTCAGGACCCACCCGACCCGAGTACCCGAGCTCCCTGTCCCAGCCCTAGTGTCTTTGCCTGCTCACAGATGATGGTTTTCTGGTACCAGGGTCCTACTCAGGACCCACCCAACCCGAGTACCCGAGCTACCTGTCCCTGCCCTAGTGTCTTTGCCTGCTCACAGATGATGGTTTTCTGTACATTTCAGCTGAGAAGAAGTGTGGGTCTGAAGAGGTCTGTGAGGGGACAGCTGCAACAGGTACAGGGGGGTGCTAATAGGGGGCCTATGTTACCATGGATACTAGAGCGGTAGCATATCTCAATTGTAAGGTCAAGACACAATGTCAAATATAAGATGATACATAAACCTGTATTCCATAGATAAAGTTATTGATAAGAGCTCCAACTGAGCCATACTTAGCAAATTTGAATAAAATAAAACAAACAAAATCCACAGTCTTAAATCCAAGCATCAGAAAATTGAAGTTTACAGTTATTTTTGTACTTTACTGGTATATATCATACAAAATGTTCTCCAAACAATTTTACATCAAAGACTTCATGGTATGATACTGATGTCTTGGAACAAAGAATCACCCTGTGCCGATACTATGGTGTATTGACACAACCCAACGGTATGGCAGCAGTGAAGAAGTCACTGTGCAAACTGCAGTCCGTTTGGCGCCACACGAGAACGATGAATTGCAAAAAAGAGACTCAAAATCCGGAAAAGTCTTCTAAATGTCAATACAGTACACAGCAATGAATGCCCCGTACCCAACAATATCGATCTGCTGTTATTTTTATTCCCATCACTGGAAGAAGTTGTTTAAAGAACTATTATGTTGTTATGTGTACAAGTTGACATCTTGAACAGAGGGGGCACAACGGCAGAAGGAACAGCGCAAACACGTACTGCATGTATACATAGTATACATCTTTGTTGACTGACAAGATGTGTTACTCAGTAGATGTGAAACAGTTGATGTTTAAGATGTAAGATTTCTTGTGAAGCAGAAAGAGGACTGTAGCTGTTAATGCAGTGGCACGAGGCACTACAGACCACAAGAGTTGGTGATTGAGAATGGTTGTCATGTAGGAGTGCCTGTGTGGTGGTGCCTGCGTGGCGTTGCGTGGCATGGCATGGCATGGCGTGATGTGGCATTGTATAGGTTGTACACTTTCCAGCTTACACAATACTTGCATGGGTGATGGCACGGGAGACATTTCAGCCCGTGAATGTTAATGCATTCAACCACTTGTTCACGCACTCAACAACCGGTTCACTCCCACACTCTCTCACCAAACAACACAAAGTTCTTACAAAAGAACAGTAAAAACATTTTTCTTTTAAATGAGCAGCCATTTTACGAATGTATCAGTTTCAGCATTTAATGACATTTAGCTGCAGCATTCCCATTTAATAACATTCAGCTGCTGCATTCCCATTTAATGACATTTAGCTGCAGTATTCCCATTTAATAACATTTAGCTGCAGCATTCCCATTTAATGACATTCAGCTGCTGCATTCCCATTTAATGACATTTAGCTGCAGTATTCCCATTTAATAACATTCAGCTGCAGCATTCCCATTTAATGACATTCAGCTGCTGCATTCCCATTTAATGACATTTGGCTGCAGTATTCCCATTTAATAACATTCAGCTGCAGCATTCCCATTTAATAACATTCAGCTGCAGCATTCCCATTTAATAACATTCAGCTGCTGCATTCCCATTTAATGACATTTAGCTGCAGTATTCCCATTTAATAACATTTAGCTGCAGCATTCCCATTTAATGACATTCAGCTGCTGCATTCCCATTTAATGACATTTAGCTGCAGTATTCCCATTTAATAACATTTAGCTGCAGCATTCTCATTTAATGACATTTAGCTGCAACACTCCTATTTAATGACATTTCTCTGCAGCATTCCTATGTGACCCATTGTATAAACCCTAACCATGCTAATTGTAACTGTTTAGGTAATGATCAATTCAAGTGCTGACAAATATTTTCTACCTGATTGTGACATCATTGTGAGCATATATATATACACCGTCAACCCACCCAGTGGACTGGAACTGCTTCTACTGACTCTACCATGTCTGCCTTATCTTACAGTGGCAGCGTTATCCATAGGTGCCATCGCCGGCATCATCATCGCTGGTGTCGTCATTCTTCTTGTCATCATCCTCATCCTCGTCCTCATCTTCCGCAGGTAAGGGTTGACATTGCATCTGTGGAACACAGAGATGCCTATTTGGAACACTCTTTATCTTTGTACACAGTACTTGCCCGAAACAGTGATAAAAGTAAATCCTACTTTTTCAAAACAACATACCGTATTCGAAGTAATAAGCGCCCAGGGCGCTCTCAAAATTAGAAATAGGGGGCTCTTATTAGAATATTATTTTGGTGGCAAAAAGAGAGTTGAAAGATAAATTTCGTGGTTTATGCTGACACACTGAAATGTTATATGCGACAGAGACATTTTTCCAGAATTTAATTGCCCATAAATAAAAAATGAATGCATATAACACACGAGTGTGTATTATACGCGAATAAATAAGTCTTGTGTACATTGATCAATCGGAAGGGGTGCTAATTGGGATTGTTCACTAGCCAGTATATTAGCAAATATCGCCGTGGGCGCTTATTACGTCGAATACGGTACATGTATTTCAAAATGAAAGAGCCTGACATTATTTAAAGGAATTTGACAGAGACAACTGTTCACGGAAGCATAAAATAAAGATCTAAAATGGCCCAGATTTGATTCTCATATTTAATTGAAATATTTTCTGCAATTGTCATCCAAGGATTGACACAACCCTATATTTACCCTGGAACATCTTGTTTATCATGTCTATTTCTTCCTGTTTCTTGACGAGGGTCATTGTATAAAAAGAACCCACTGACCCTGAATGTACACACACAATAGAAAATACTTCCCTGAATGTTAAAAAGGTTGCTATGGCAAAATACCACTACTTATTAATCAGCTGTTGGTAATAAGCCATGATTGGCCAACATCATACATTGAGTGGGCCAAGTCCAAACAAGGGAACCAATACGGGATTATCAGACCAATATAGGATACATAGCTCCAGATAACTTTTTAAGAAATTGAGTTTTTACTCTAGGGTTTCTATCTTAATTGGGTTATTACATTTTTCATTGGGTAACCAATATTTTTTCACTCATCTATTCATCACCCTATTGGTTTTTTTTTGCAAAATTAGTAAACATTTTAGGATTTAAAAAAAAGTGAAATAATGTTTTAGATGTATGTAACTGTTCTAAATATGTAGGCTTGACTCGGAAAGTAAATTAGCTCATAATTGTGTTTTGGAAATTAGCTCCTTTGTACACATGCTGAAAAAGCTTCATTGGGTATTTACGCATGCTGCTTTTATACATTTGAGTTTTTCATTTAATGCATGTGTTTCTGTACGCAAGTTAATTGAAAGTAATTGGGTTTTGTATATTTTTGGTAGGTATTTTACGCAAATACGCTTTTTATCTGTAGCTCTGGGATAAGCGGGCCAGAACGAGATTAGCAGACCAATACAGGATTAGCGGGCCAATACAGGATTTGCAGACCAATATGGGATTAGCAGCAATACGGATTAGTGGCCCAATAAACGAGATTAGCAGGCCAATATGGGATAAGCCAAACAATATGGGATTAGTGGACCAATACAGGATTAGCTGGCCAATACAGAATTAGTAAGCAAATACGGGCGAGTACGAGATTAGTGGCCCAATACGGGATTAGCATACCAATATAGGAACATCAGACACATATGGGATTAGTTGACCAATATGGGATTAGCAGGCCAATACAGGTATGAAGAAGGCCATATATGGGTTTCACAGGCCAATACGGCTTTCTACACTGTAACGGAGAAACACTAACAGCCCATTAAAGTGCTGTCATCATATTTCATCTGATCAACATTTATTAGTACTTGAGTGAGTGAGTTTTTATGCCATTTTTAGCAATATTCCAGCAATATCATGGGACACCAAAAATGGGCTTCACACATTGTACCAAACCTGGGTCTTCGGTGTGACCAGCGAACGCTTTACCCACTAGGCTACCCGACTGCCCCTATTAGTTTTGGAAGATTTTTATCCAATTTGTACGTTTGTCCTTCAGGAGTACACCCCCAGACACTGATCAGAATTATATGACACCATATCACATACCTGTCTACGAGACGCTGAGGAACTACGTACCACATGAGAGAGCCACGGTGGCCTACGACAACCAAGTCTACGTACATGACAAGATGGAGTCCCCAGACGCCAACCATGACTATGAAGAACTACAGGAAAAGATGGACCCAGGAGCCTGCAGCTATGACAATGCTGCTGTGCAAATCCACCCCCCACAATATGACAATAACGAATCAGTGATGGTCATGCCTAAAGGAGCAGTTGGTTAGTTATAGCATTGGAGAACTGACTCAAGGTTTGGTTTGGCTTGGATTGTTGTTTTATGCCGCACTCGGCAATATTCCAGCTATATGACGGCGGTCTGTGAATAATCGAGTCTGGACCAGACAATCCAGTGATTTACATCATGAACATCGATCCATGCAATTGGGATCGATGACATGCATCAACCAAGTCAGCGAGCCTGACCACCCGATCCTGTTAGTCGCCTTTTACGACAATCATAGTCGCCTGTTACGGCAAGCATGGGTTGCTGAAGACCTATTCTACCCCGGATCTTCACAGACTCAAGGACTCATCATCTCACATGCTGATAATAATCCGAGTGAACACTTTGAATGAACAGGATGCCTTTGTACAAACAACCTTAGTGCTACAACTGCATGTCTATGTTAAGGTATGGGAGCTATGACCACCTTAGCGCAAAGATGGATTTGTACAACAGCACCGTGATCCTATATATTTCATTTGCTTTGTAGATAAACCTTACAGAGCTCGAGATAAGTTTGCTTATTTGGGTATTTTACCCAGAAGTTTGATTTTGATTGGGTATCCACAATTCTCACAGGATATTTATTTCTTTTTACCCAACTGTTTCTTGACATTTGTTTTTTTTAACATGTTTCATATCAAATCCTGTAAATCATTTAAAACTAAATGAATAGGAGTATACCCGTCTGCTTCCGGGAAGCCATTTTTGTTTGCAAATCCTAGCATTGCAAGAAAGGCACTATATTTTAAATCACCAATCACCAATCAGCGACTGTTTAAGATATGTTGACTGGTCACGATGTTCTTTCCAAATCGAATCTATCTGTTTTCGAGTTTGGTTGTCGCACAAGTCAATTTTATTATCTAACAGTTGTAATAAATGCATTCGTTATTTCAGATATTTACAGTTTTTGTCGCATATTTGCTGAGCCAGGATTTGATTTGTCTTCTTATATCAGTTAACTTCTGCCTTAGTATTGAATTTAACTTGGAGGTATGTTTTTTTAATAAGGACAAAATGATTGTGCACTTTGAACATGTCATTAAGCATCTTCAGGATGCAGATTTTGAACAAGGTAAAGGCCAATCTCATTAAAATCAGATCTTAGTTCTCGCTACCGCGAAACAAAGATCTGAGGACATCCCATTGCGGGTCACGTCAGACCGACCTTGCGCAAACTTTGACTGACCAATGGAATGACCAATCAGAAGGCAGCTTTCTCGTGCTTTACGGCACTAATTTCAAATTGGCGACTACGCTTCGAAACATATTTTGACAAATTCTCGATTACAAATTTGAAACCTGAACAAAAGATCATTCTGGAATGGCTAATAGATGGTCTAGATTGTATGGATACAGTCGTTAAACCCGTAACTATCGTTCGGAGTTAAAGTTTTCGAGGCTGCATGATCAGAAATCACCGTCCGACTGTCACTTTCATAATCTGGTAAGCGATGCTCTGATTGGTCGGATAAAAGGTCGTTCTGACGTGACACCTAATGGGATGTCCTCAGATCTTTGTTTAGCGGTAGCGAGAACTGAGGTCTGATTTTAATGAGATTGGATAAAGGCCTGCATATGTCCTACTTATGTGCAAACCCTGCAACAATATGGAGGAAACAATCAACCCTGTTATTACCTGCACATGTATGACAAGAACTGTTTTGTGAGGCTTATCGTGAGATGATTCAGGTATTCAGTCTAAACTTCCCATGGGAATTCTTCATGTCTAACATGTTTACTATTGAGAAATAAATGTTGACAAATACCTGTATACAATTGTACATAATGTACATATGCATTTTTATATTTCTTATACTTTTTTATAATTTAACCAGTCAGCGTTGAGGCTCCCGCACACGTGATCGCAAGAACTACATGTTGACATAGATTCATCAAACTACAACAAATATGACTTTCAACGAGTCAAATGATATATTATCCATTCTCTGTCAACTAAAGTTCGTTTCAAGGCGTCAATAGCGGTAATTTGACCATGGATGTTGTTCATAACGATGAGTTGTGCCATCTTCCGATCAGTTCACACACGATTTTGCTGAAATTAATTAAACAATATTATATTATATTATAAGTCCAGATATACAATGAACACTTTTTATAACCAGACCATGTAATTACAAGATTAATTTGCATACTTCAGTATGGATTTGTTGACATGGTATTTCCAGTGTTACACGCTCATGGTAAAGTCTTTCGGTTTGGGGGAAAAAACATCAAAACTCATTATGGCGCATATAATGTGCACCCCCTTCTACACAGCTGTGTTGTTTGGAAAAAAAGTGCGCACTATACTCAAGAAAATACATATACAGGCCAGAAACATTGAAAACTAAACTATCTTCATCATGCAGATGGCAGTAAGCATGCAGGCATATTTTGAAAAGGGCTACAATTATATAAACATAAAAAAGGCTATACAAACATACACTTCTCAAAATATGTGAAGGACCACCGGATTCTTTACCAGAAATATTTTGGAATTAGGGTCGTATCTGTAATACCCTAAGGATATATAAAATGTAATTGTAACTTTGAGAAAGTTTTCGTGCACATTTTGGCCAGTTTAATGTATGCACATGTACTTCCTTTATTTCTTTGAAAGTTCCTCCAATTTTTTCCTCTTAGTCTTTCTTTGTCTGTATTGAGATTACTGCCTATGGTCTGCTCTTTCCGCAAGAAACCATACTGTTAGGGCTTGTCCACATTCGCCTTAAAGTACAGTGTTCCCTCGTTATTGCGCCCTTCAATATAGCGCTAACTCGGTTATAGCGCGTGGTAAAGCATGGCTCCCAAAATTTACTAACATTTTCAATAAACTCAAGTTTTCCAATGACACGATGTTTTCCCCATCTCAGAAAACATTCTCAGCTGATCATCGCGATCACGTAACACCGGAAATACCAGTCAACAAATCCGAACTGAAGTACGCAATTTAATCCTATATAATAATATCTGGTAATATAAAAAAATGTTTATTGTTTAGCTGGACTAATGTTTGCAATATATTTTTTTTATTATATTCAAAATTTCATTCAATAATGTTTACAATAATTTCGGCGAAATCTTTTTTGAAACTCTGAAATGTGCAACGTAGATCGTGTTAGGTAGGCAGGGCATGTATACTGTTTTGTTGGTCATCTACCACCTACGACTCGACCTTCGCTAAACCGCTGATCATCTATAACGCTCATCAATATTTTGGACCCCCGAAGGTAGCGTTGTAGCGAGGGATCACTGTATATGGGGGCAATGATAGACAGCCAAATATCTCTGAAACATTAGTCTTTCTTTATAACTTCAAAAGGCTATAAAGTCATTGTTTGGGTAGATTTGATTTATTTTATTGACAATGTTCAATGTACATTTCCAAGAGCTTTTCATATATCTATAACACATGGTATGGTTTCCAGAAGGGGTCACATGACCAGCCCTTAATGCATTATGGTCACAAATTACTTTTGAACCCGATTTGGACGTGCAGAGGATACTACCATAGTTAATCTATCATGCCATGACAGATTAACTGTAGTAATATGAAAGAATCAGTTTGTCCTCAACTTCTTTCGAGAATTGCTGTGCAGAATGGGCATGCCAGAAACCTATGATTGTGGGTTCGAATCCCGGGTTCGCCCTGTTTATGTTTCTAGGTTTGTCAGCACCATACCCATGCACCATCCCCATACATATTGATGCAAATGCTTAGTAAATGTCATGAATGAGCAGGTGCAATGATGTGGATTTATTTATCTATGTACATATACACATATATAAGAACTATGCTCCACTATGCTGTGATGCACTTCACCTGAAACATATACTATTTGGAAAAGTGGTAATGTACAAACGATGGCCCCTCCAAAAGCCTGAAATTCTACTAGTCCTTAGGATATTAGATATTAAAACATCTTTGTAACCTTCTCTGAAAGAGAGAGAGAGAGAGAGAGAGAGAGATAGAGACAGAGAGAGAGAGAGCCTGAAGTGATATGCAGGTTTTAGATGTTAATCACATGCTGAAACGCACACAGGCAGATGTATGGTGCTGACCAACCAAGAATCCTCAACCGGGCAAATCAGGGATTAGAACATAAGATCCTTGCACACCCAAGGGACACAACTATGTGGTACCTTAGATGACTGGGCTACCCTGGGTATCCAAACAGAAACAGAAGTATTTCCTTGTAATTAAATCACTTTTATGTCTGTTGTCATGATCAAGAAATAAAACACATCTCTCTCATTCCTGAAAATTATTTCATTCAATATTCAACTTGAACATGCTGGAAAGACCTCAAAAGGGCGCAATACATACTAGTGGTTGACAAATTGTTTCTTTAAGTTTACACAACTCAGGGAGAGACAGGAAGTCATTTTCATATGTGTCAACATGGCTTTATCTGTGCCTCTACCAAGACCGATATTTTGCCCCAAGTTTGCGGCAAATATCAGTAAGGCTAAAAAAAATGATAGTCTTGGTTCTCAGGCACCGCCCGCATTATCAGAAAGTCTGGCACACGTTTCGCTTTTACTTCCATTTTCAAAAAAAATTAAAAACTCCTAATACTTAAAAACAATGCGATCCAATATAGCACACAGTTACTTCCCCTTACATGTGCACTGCTTTACTGCGCAGATTGTGTTATGGTAATGGCGGCAATAGCAGTTTGTATGCTTGTTTATGTAGGGAGGCCCTTTCCCAGGCATCTCACCAAGGCAAGAGAGTTAACTGACTTTAAAAGTCCAGTTCCCACCCTTGCCGAACTAGGCTGGAATTCCTGGGCTCAATCGTAGCACCACCAGTGACTATTACGAGTTATGTCCCTTCTAAGCCTTTCCAATGGTCCAATCAGATTCCACCTCTTATATCACTTGCATTTGCTTCAAACAAAATGGCAGTGCCCAGTCAAGACGATCTGATCGAAACTCAAGATCTATATTGTGATAAAACAGGTCTTACATCGCGAAATGCATCAAATCACGTGAGCACCTTGATTAAAATTCGTATATTTTTTTAAGCCTAACAATTCCTGAATTGGAATTAAAAACCTTTCATAGTCATCAGAACATAATAACTAATTTTATGGCCTTGAAGATGAGGAGGAGACATGGCTTAGTTTTAGATCATTGCATTGAATGCAATGCAACAAATATACAATGTTAAACTCTTAAACCTGTTAAATAAATAGAGGTTATCATGTGAGTGTGTTTGGGGATGGTAAATATCCTGCATTAGGAAAAAACATTGTATTTAACGAGCCTTGGCGAGCTAAATACATAGTGTTTATTCAATATACTGGATATTTACCATCCCCAAACACACAAGCGAGATAACCTGTTTATCATATAATGTCATTCTTTATTTCTGTGCTTGAAAATTGTTTTCCCCCTCTCACAAACATTACTGAAACATTGAGAGTTTTCCTGGAATTGCGCGCATTAATATTTATAACGTTACAGGGTAAGTGATGTGTCAGTCTGACAGTGACATTTAGCCAATATAGTTCCAACTGAAATCTGTTTCTTATACAGTGGCAAAAGCAACATATACGCAAAACATAAAATTTTTTTACTTGCCTTTCGCGGCCATCCATCGGTCTGTCCGCTGGAGTAACTGCCCTTTGACAAAGGGAAGCTACTCTAACCCTAGTTTATGAGACGTCACGGCAACGTTCAGACATTGTTGACAGGCGTCCTGTCCTGTCATAACGTTAAGAAGTGCAGTCAGATATACACACAGCGACAAAACGATACAAGGTAACAATTCAAACATATCCAAACTATTTTAATTTGTGGAAAAAGTTTCAAGCCGCAGAGGTCTACAAGCACAGATATGGCTACTGATCCCGCTTGGCTAGGCCTAGTGCCCTCGCAAAATTGTTTCGAAATTTATATCTCCAAAGTTGCCAAAACTAATAAAATGCCTTAGCTACGTCACAGTTAGACACTGATTTTCAGTATATTAGACTGTTCTTTTGATAATGATAGCAATTATCCCTGTAGTTTATCCAGATTCCCGATGGTTAATTCTGACTCGATCGCCGAATGACGAGGGTGACGCCATGTTTGTTTATAAACAGTGAAAGTAGTCCTACTTGACCTTTTTATATTTGCATCTCTATCCGCATATGACACCAACGGATATCGTTTTTATCCATTGGCTTTATCCTGTCGGGAAACCTACCTATTATATGATAAATAATGATATTTTCCAAATTTGCCTGCCTGGGGCACTCAGCTTGGAATCCTAGATAAATCCCTTATCAAAGATGTTCAGGTCCACATGTCTTTTATATTATAAGTGTACTCAAGTTAAACTCTGCACTGAATTTGCCTGCTGCAACAATTGAACCAGGCAACAAAATTAATAACCAATTAGGAGTGAGTGAGTTCGGTTTTACGCCGCTCTTAGCAATATTCCAGCAACATCACGGTGGGGGACACCAGAAATGGGCTTCACACAATGTACCCATGTCGGGAATCCAACCCAGGACTTAGGCGTGACAAGCGAACGCTTTAACCACTAGGCTACCCGACCGCCCCAACCAATTAGGAATTGTGTTGGATATGCATACACATCTCTTGTTACAGGGATTTAGCTAGACCTGTTAAGAGATTGATATTCAGACCAAAGTCTGCAGCAAATGTCAGTAAAATTCCCAAATTAAGAATTAAGAAATTTCAATTTCATTCTGCATATACTGTACTGTCATAACTCATGTGATGGCTCTGTTGAGGCTGTATTCCACTGGGGCCAATACTGAAGAAGAAGCTTTCATGTTTTTATCAAAAATAGTTAACAGTGGTTGTCAAATATTGGCCATTTCAATGCCTTTTATTAAGACTGGTTCAAGGCAGTTTTAAGCCTGTTCTGACCTTAGTATTCCCAAACAAGGCATTACTTCTTATAAAGGACAGAATCAGATATTTTATGAATGCTTCAATATCTTTTTCAAGGTTTAAACATGAGTTGAACTGAATAGGGCCATTGAAATGTGGATTGATGAGCTGGATTACACAAGTTTGTCTTTAGGGTTTATAGATTTTTAGCCCAAACATTTCAGCCAGTAGGTCTGAAAACAATATATTCCAATTTCAATGTATTTTTTTCTTTTGTGTTTTGAAGTTTTAAATGTAAATAAACAGGTTTTAATTATAGTATCTTAAATATTTGATATCTATTGATTGTGTATACATATTGATTGTGACAGTAATTGAGTTGATTTTTAACTCTTTACTTATTTTTGGTCAGCAGAATAAAAAAAATCTGCCTTTACATTTAAAAAAAAAAATCACATTAAAAGTTTTGGAGAGTTTGTTAACAATGTTATACAGAAATGGCTGTTCTAGGTGCCGCTTTGATCAGTATTTCAGTTATCTCATGGTGTGTCTGCCTAATCATTTTTTTCTAATGTTGGAGGAAAGCCCAAAGTGACGAATGTTTGTTTGTTGTTTAACGCCGCACTCAACAATATTCCAGCTATATGACGGCGATATGGGACGGCGATATGGGACAACATGACATGCATCAAACAAGTCAGCGAGCCTGACCACCTGTTCCCGTTATTTGCCTCTTACAACAAGCATTGGTTGCTGAAGATCTATTCTCACCCGGTCTTCAAGGGTCTGATGAAGGTCTTATATCAGGTTACCACCTTGGTGAAGGCCATAAGACCTGGAATCATATTCAGCTATTTCAGGATTCAACTACAATGAGTGGAGCCTGGCATCAATAAGGAGTGCAACTCTGGATCTGTAAAGTGTATTGTGGCACCTTGGCCGACCATGCCAAATACCAAGAAAGAACTGACCAGGTCAAGCCCATAGAAAAGCGAACACTTGTCTCCAAATAAGATGTCATAAAATATATAACTAGGTCTCCTCACCAGGATGGCAACCGATATATATTTTACATACAGATGGTGTATACACGTGTTATATTATATTTGTCTTAACCTATACCATTACCACTTTGACTTGAAGAATAAATCTACCAATCTTCTTGTATCTTTAAAAGGGAAAATTGTGAACCTCAGTCACTGGACTGATTATTAGCAACTGATTATGCATTTAAAAATTCCTTCTCCACTTTGTGTAAACAGAATGACCATGATTACATATAAAGGATTTATTTGTCAGTAATATCTTATGTTCCAACGAGAAACATCACCCATTCAACATTCTCAGAGTGACAACAGTGAGCCCCTTAAGCTTGCAATAAACTGTCATGCAAATGGTTACAAGTTTATTCCTAGATAGTACAACAGTCAGACACTTAATACAACTATATTTTGAGATTTTCTTATTCAGGATATGGATATTCCTACATTGCCTAATACGTTGGAGTTATTGATAAATATTATTGTTTGATCTCTTTTCCTGTTGAACGTACTTGTTTGTATCTGGTTGGCGAATCTCAAAGTTTCACAGAGCCCAACGGATCAACTTCGTACTCAGTAGTAGAGAACTTCGCACATCACCGACAATAAATTACGTCATGGATTCAGCCCTGTGAGGAGCATGTCTCAAAATATTTTTTAATCACGTGACGATCAGCCAATCAGCGCGTGTGAAAGTTTTCTGCCATAATTATTACCGGGGATGTGATAACAGAAAACAAGGATAAAGTCTCTGTTATTCAGCGGGTACGTGCGTGACTGAAAGGTAAACTGTCGTTAAATAACTGCATGCATGTCATATGTCGTTACGTAGACAAACGTCAATGATATATTTGCAATTCATATAATGCTTGACGCAAATAGGTAAAAATATATATCAGATGCCACGCCCTTGATGAATGATCTTTGGCATTATTTTAAATCACATATTGTTTTGTAGTCTAGAAATGCAAAGGAAACAATTTCTTCTCGGAATTACGTTACACATTTAGTAGTAGGCTTACAAATTGTCACGCTAGTTATCACACGCCATAGGTCACATATTGTCGCACTAATTTTCACTCGCATATCATGTGCCACCTGTCAACCGTTGTAACATATGCAAAGGCAAGTCAGTTGATCACCTTAAAAAACAGCGAACATCAAACATCACCTCGGTCCAATATGTGTCAAATCTGGAAATGTCCCCCACATGTCTACACAGCTCCAGATAAGCTGCGTATTTGCGTAAAATACCCCCAAAATATTCAAAGCCAAAGACTTTCAATTAACTTGCGTACAGAAACGCATGCATTAAATGGAAATCACGATTGTTTCAAAACAGCACGCGTCAATACCCAATAAAGCTTCTTCAGCATGGGTATAACGAAGCTACTTTCCGAAACAGTTACGAGATAATTTACTCTCCGAGTCAAGCATACATTTAAAACCGTTATATTACATCTAAAACATTATTTCATTTGTTATAATCACAAAATGTTAACTCATTTTGGAAAACCTCAATACAAATAGAATAGAATAGAGTGATGAATAGACGAGTGAAAAATAATATTGGTTACCCATTGCAAGTCCATGTATGTTGTAGGTGCTACTGAAACATGGGGAAGCCAAAGATAAAGGTTCAGAGAAGCCAGCGGAAGCAGAGATTTTCACCCAGAAAAATCACCAGCAGACAAGGTACAGGAGTCCCACAAGCAATGATCAGTGTTTCAGTTAATTGGCCAACAACTCTAACAAATGTTGATAAATCCTTATGAGGTACCTCTGCATTTCCATTTGCTATGCTTTAAACTATAGAGTAGTACGTACTTGTTTGATTAGCCCATGTAATTGAAACACCATTGTTCAATTGTTTGACATGTGTGAATGTTTCCCAGCTTCATGCTTGGTTGAGGGGACTTTTTGTTTGTATATTCCTGAACATACAGGTTTGGGTTTGTTTATGGGATTCAAATTGAATATTTGCTAATTTCATTCTTAACAAACCAGGGGTGTTCGGGTAGCCTAGTGGTTAAAGTTTTCGCTAGTCAATCCAAAGACCCAGGTTCGATTCCCGAGATGGGTACAATGTGTGAAGCCCATTTCTGATGTCGCCTGCCGTGATGTTGCAAGAATATTGCTAAAAGCAGTGTAAAACCTCATTCACTCACTCACTTAACAAACCAAGCAAATAAGCTGGTAACATGAAACATTTGATTTTGTACATGGCCCTCAATGAACAGTTTTGAAAGTAGAGTTTTGATTCAGATGCTGTAAATTTTGAAATTAAATGCAAAAAATGTAAGTGGTCTTTGCTCACATTATTAAACATCGCATTCATATCAACATTAAGACATTTTGGATAGCAGGGTAATTTGTTATACCATATAAGTATACTGTAAATCTTGACATTAATGCGTCTCCAAATTAATACGACTGCTGACCTCAAGCTAAAATGGGACTCAATATCAGTGCAACTCCCCCCCAACCCATCCCCAGTGGAATGATACATATCCTTACCTTAATCCAATCAAACAGCAAATAGCATGGCTTATAATTAGTGCTGAGTAGTTTGACACAAGTGTGTATAAATCTTGACCCCAGAAGTGATAACTCACCAGATGCCTGCTGTGTAATTCCTATTCTTTGAATGATTTTTTTATATACTGCTGCTCAATAACCCATGTTTGTGTTTATATTCAAGTTGGTATTTCCTCTATCCAAAGTGTGCAGTGAGGTTGTCTTATTGTTGATAGTCATTTTGTTTCATATATGTGAACAAAGACAACTTGCATTTTCCACATTTCATTCATGCTAGTGTTAATTTCAAGATTTACAGTATATTGTTACTGGGCTTAATTCACATGAGTATTTGGTATTGGTTTGGTGTATATTTTATTCCCTACAACCCTTCACGATGGTGTCCTCTCCCACTCAATCAGCCTGTCACAAGTGTGGCAGGTTCAAGATTTCCGACAACCCTCGCCCAAGTGTTGGAAATGCAGAGAGCCTTCTTGTACTGAAGACGATCATTGCACTATTTGGCTCCCACTCTCCAAGAAGGCATTCTACAAGTTCACCGATGCTCTCACCAAAGCCAAGAGAAAAGATGAAGCCAAGAATAAGGTGGATGACATCATGTCGCAGTCTGACAAGCTGACCCCTCTCCCAAAACAACCGACATTTCCGATCGCCTGAGATTTGAACTCTATTTGAATCTCGACTTTCGGCTCTATCACTGGAGGTAGAACGGCTGAAATGACTTGGTTCCGACCAGACACTGAAGAATCCATCAGACAAGATACCGTATGGGGGAACGTCTATGGTAAGCTCAAACATCTGTATTCCATTAGCCTTCCACCTCACCCTGACGGGAGATGGGACTGTCGGGGTCCCTGCATGGATCTACTGTTAAGGAAGCCACACCATCACAGAAACTGCAAACGTTTTATTGACTCACAGTATACCGTTAATGACAAGACTCAGCCACCGTAGGTACCCACATAGGTCGCACGGGCCCCGGGGATCGTCTGCCGAGCATGGAGCCGGCATCTCAACACCATGAACCCTGTAACGTTACCCCACAGCTGTCCGGTAAACAGCTCTTACCAGAATCATGGACGCTGTTAGATGACAAGCCGCACGGACACCACACGGATCTATTTACCCACCCGTAGCCACACTATTTTGATGAGACTTCCCCCAGCGGCCTCCCATACTCAGTCAGACACTGAATCTGAGGATGATTACCAGGAGGAACAGACTCAACCCCCAGGGGAGTTTGGCCCTTCCTTATCCTCTGTGGATTTATTGGACACTTTGTTTCAGTTTATGCCTGATGTGACTTCCTGCATGGACCAGTTCAGCCCATCGTTGATGCCAGAGTATGCAGGTTGCCAATGCCCCTGTATCATCCCTCCACGCTCCTGATATCCAGGTATAGGGATACTTACAATTGAAATTTCCGCAATATAACGGTAGTTCTAGTGAAAGTATCACATATTGAATGATGATTTCACTACACGATTTTCAAGTCTTCTGGAAATGGTTTGGAAACTACATCTCTTGGGGATTTGGATCACCTATACGATGGAAGCACAAGGATTTTGTCCTTTTCTAAACAACTTAATCCCTCAAAGTAAGCCGGGGAAAAGTCACTTTCGGTTAGTGAACTTTACAAGATCCACAGAAGTCTTAACAGATTAACTCCTCTATTTCACAAGAAGGAGTGGGTACCCTGTTTGATATAATGAAGAAATAAAGAAATCCATCACCTTCCTAGGGATTACGGAACATATCTCGATCTGAAACACAAACAGGTGGAACCCGCCACCAACCGTGGGATTTAAGCAATTATTATGAGTCAGGAGAAGATAAAATATGGAGTTTTAGGGTAAAAATAGTATTTATACTTATCCTGTCTCATATGCTAAAGCGGTCACCCAGCTGTAACCCCTTCCTCTATTTCGACCAAATAAAGTATTGGAAAGGTAAGAGTGATGAGTAACCGGTCTTGGTCACATGCTCAATATGGAGTCCAGGGGTGCGTTTGTTTTCTGTTCTCCAGGAAAACAGTTGATGAAGTTTCCACTACCTCTGAAATGAGTAGAGATAAGTATGAGTCAGGTTAAATATAAATAATAATATACCCAAAAAAATACATTTTAAACAGTGTAGTCAATATTTTCATGTGTGATGTTCTCTTCTGAAAACCTAGAAAAGGCAAACACATTAACATGTGTTTTACTTCTGCTCCCAGGGGCGGTCGGGTAGCCTCGTGGTTAAAGCGTTCGCTCGTCACGCCGAAGACCTGGGTTTGATTCCCGAACATGGGTACAATATGTGAAGCCCATTTCTGGTGTCCCCCGCCGTGATATTGCTGGAATATTGCTAAAAGCGGCGTAAAACCATACTCACTCACTCACTCACTTCTGCTCCCATGCACTACTGTGACTTAGTAAAGAATGACCATCATCATTACAAAGATCAAAATAAAGTAAGCTGCAACCATTATTGTACCAAGTCTTTGATAGACATTTTGAAATTAAAAGAACATGAACACCAGTTTGAACACATGACACTTTGTTATGGGTAACAACTTCTTTTATTCTTTGTAACAAAGTTTCAGGTCTAGAGCTACTTCTTTCCCCATGATCTGGTGATGAGTAAAAACAAAAGAAGAATACAAAGTATGAAAGAAGTTGTTGTGCATAAAAAAGTTTTATGTATTCATTATGGTACCACTCAATTTTATTCAATTTTCCTTTCTGGTAGAAATATCCGTGATATTTTATGTTGTAGATGATGCCGTTAACATAACGATACACAGTCTGAGAGAGAGGGAACCATCAATTTCTGAAGATGGATCTAAGCGCCACAGTGGAGTATCTAACCAGCCTCATAAATGTCCACAAGGGAAAGGGAATACAAAAGTAGAACTCAAGGAGCTCCCAGGACAGCAAAGATGTAAAGATGTAAAAGTGAAATTGATCACCACTTCCTCCAGTCTTACTTCTGCCCAAAGCTCATCCAGGTCCTTCAATGACACCTACAAGGAGTATGTGCAAAAGCTCAGACATGTCAGACCAATGAAGTCCGAGGAGGGTTCATCCATGAGTCTTAGCTCAGGGTCAAACTGTGTCCATTTGATGACTTCAGATGCTGTGTCAGGAAAGAGGAGTTCAGATGACAGAGATGTGGAGGTGGAGGAGGAGGTGTCTTCACCATCACGTGCTGTGGAAGATATGGAAACAACGCCTGCATCTCCCACAAACATACAGCATAAAATGTGTAAGAATGTTTCTGTATCAAGGCAGAAGAAACAAAGTAAGAAAAAACCTATAATCAGCTCAAAAGCACAGAACAAGAGCAGTTCAAAACAATCAAGAACAACTACGAAGGTTCAGAATAAGAATGTTAAGGAGTATTCGAGATATTGCCAGCAGCTGCCAGGTATCTCAACTGTGTCCTCCTCATACACCACTGATCAGTCGGTTTGCAGACTTGCTAGAGTAGATGTTTTGTCAGAACATTCATCAGACAGAATACTTGTTGCACGTGTACCACACCAAGGTTGTGATAGTGGGGTCAGCTTGCCAGAGAGTGTCATTTCGGCCCGTGAACCAGCGCGAATCCTGCTCAACAAGGGAAGGGTTCCGGTTGCTGATGCAGGTGTGCAAGTTCAGTTTGACCACATGTCTCCAGACTTTCAGGTTTGTGTTGATGTGGAGTCCAGTAAAAGATTTATTATTGAAAATGGACCAATAGAAATATCCTCAGACAAAGATTTAGGTGGGTGTAAGAATAGTCATTTGTCAGATTTAGTCATTTTGGAATTAGAGAAGCAGAAACGAAATGATGTTGAAAAAAACAGACAACCTTCAGGATCAAATTATGTTTCCAATGTCCGGCAACCTTCAGAAAACATGGACACTGACCGGAGTCCTACAGGATCAGGAGAAAACATGGACACTGACAGGAGACCCACAAAATCAGAAGACAACCTGTTCATTGACAGGAGACCTACAGGGTCAGAAGAACTTGTGTCCAGTGTCGGGAAGATATCGCCCTGTGATCTTGATTCCTTCTTGTTTTCTAGTTCAGAATTTGGGTCTGATGTTGAGGCAGAGGACGAACCTGCCTCAAAACTGACCCTGCCAGTTCTTCGCTCTTTACACACAGAGGAAAGATCGATTTGTGTACAGACAAGACTGAAAGCAAGGAACAAGAGAAGAAGTAGTGTCACAAATATTGATCAGAACCTTCTGAACCAACAATCGAGAATGAAGAAACCTACTCGTAGTGTAACAAGAAGTTCAGAATTTCAGGCACCATCTGTTTCTAAAAGAAGACGGCAATCTCAGAAGCCTGGTACCAGTCCTTTAGAACTGACTCTGGACACTCCGCAGAAGGCAACTTCCTTTGAAGCATCTTGTGATAAAAGAGAGAATATATCTCGTGGCCTGGAGTCCAGTTGTTGTAGTTCTTCTGTAGCACCAGTGGATGAGAACACAAGTGAAGTGGAATCATCAAGTTCATGTAACAGCATCCTGGAGTTAACATCAAAATCGCTGAAGGGAAAAAAAGATGTACCAATTATCAAATCAAAAGGACTGTTGAGTACAAAGCACATTACTGAAACATGCTCTGTTTCTGCAGTAGAGGTTGAGAAGGCAGAGGCAACCAGTGCATCTACAGAGTCTGTTGTTCCTCCCTTAGCCTCACCCTCAACCTCCACTTTGTCAGAGGGTATGGCAAGTGGCCTGACTGAACTCACTGGTTTGGACAGTCTCCCAAGGACAGAGGGGTCAAACTCAGGATGTGAAGGAAAAGGATGCTCAGAGTCTGCTCTAAGTTGCCGTGCTCAACAATCTGTGAGAAAAAATCAAAAGCAAAAGGTGAAAAAACAAAGAGCATGGAGGAAAAGTAAATCTGTCTTCAATGTTTGTAAGCTCTCAGATCAGTTGGATGAATGCTTCAGCTGGAGTGAGAACTCACCTGAGGTGTCAATATCATCTTGCAAAACCCTGAAACTCATTAAAAACACATCTACCATTGAGATGGATGAAACAGAATGTAAAATAAGCCAGAATTGCACAGAATGGTACAGTTCAGGAGACGAACTTTTTCTTGCAGAAACTCACCTCAGAAACAGGGAGAGTCATGACCGGAAGTCTGTCTTGCAGCCTGTAGATGATTCAGCCTTGACCAAGGATACAGATGACAGAGCTTTGGAGGTAGAGGAGGTGTCTTCACCATCACATGCCATGGAAGATACGGAAACAAAGCCAGCATTTAGCACAAAAACAGAGCATAATATGTGTAAGAATGTTTCTGTATCAAGGCAGAAAAAAACTATAATCAGCTCAAAAGCACAGAACAAGAGTAGTTCAAATCGAATTCAGAATAAGAATATCAAGGAGTGGTCAAAATATTGCCAGAACATATCTACCATTGATATGGATGAAACAGAATGTAAAATTAGCCAGAATTGCACAGAAAGGTACTGTTCAGAAGACGAACTTTTTCTTGCAGAAACTCACCTCAGGAACAGGGAGAGTCATGACAGGAAGTCTGTCTTGCATTGCAAGCCTGTAGTTGATTCAGCCATGACCAAGGATGCAGATGATCTTGATACTGTGGTTTCTTGTCAGGAGAGCTTTGATTGTGATTTAAGCGATAGAAATGGCCAAGATAACAAGGGAGATCTTAATACTGATAAAACTGTATCTGACATTGACATCATGCCTTTCAACATTCTTGATGATACATCTGATAGAATGACAGTGGACTCAGCAGCAGGAAATGATGATAGATGTGACTTGAGAGAAGATGTCACCAAGGAGATGGCCGAACCTCAGGACTCCAACTCCAGCCCAAGCGCCACTGTGTCCCCGAAGATACCACCGTTGAACTTGAACACTGCGTCCCAAGTGCGCGTGGTGCAGTACAGCAGCAGTAGCTCAGAGGAAGGAGGTGACCTGCTTTACAAAACAGTGCAGACAAAAAAGGTATGTGATCAAGTGTTTGAATGGCATGTAGAAGTGATACACATAAGGGAACGACCACTTGATATTCTGGGGGAAGGGAGGAGCATCTGGGATTTTGTATGGAGATAGGTGTTTTTTCAGCTACATCTACAAAATCATATATATTATTGTTTACAACTATGAGCCTGAGATTATTTTTTAGAAAAACACCTTGCAACAATGTCATTTTTCAACAGTATGAAGCATAGTCATTTTTTTCACGAATTCTCAGGGCCAATTTATTTTTATCCATAAAATCACAGGCACCCACCAGAATATCAAATGATCGGTCCCTACGAGAGAAACAGGGTTTAGTATTGTTGTTATTCCTCTGGATAAGGTACAGTGTTGTCAGTCCTCTAGGAGTGTTCAGCGTTGTTCTCAGTCCTCAAGATAGGGTGCAGCGTTGTTCTCAGTTCTCAAGATAGGGTTCAGCATTGTTCTCAGTCCTCAAGATAGGGTTCAGCATTGTTGTCAGTCCTCAAGATAGGGTTCAGCATTGTCAGTCCCCAAGAAAGAGTTCAGTGTTGTCGGTCCTCAAGATAGGGTTCAGTGTTGTCGGTCCTCAAGATAGGGTTCAGTGTTGTCAGTCCTCAAGATAGGGTTTAGTGTTGTCAGTCCTCAAGATAGGGTTCAGCATTGTTGTCAGTCCTCAAGATAGGATTCACATATTACATCTCATCTATGCCAGACCGCCTGGAAAAGCCGCAATCACATGTTTAAATAATTTAGTAAATTGTTAATTTAATGCTTGCTGATTAAAGTTTCTTTAGGACATGATAACCTGGAATACAGGTAATAGAACCTACTTATGTTTTTGACTGCTAGAAATGCTTCCAGCTGTGTCAGCGTGGGCGCAGTGGGTGGGAGGACAGCCTGCGACAGCGCCCAGCAAAGACCCAGAGATACCAGGTGGGCCAGGAGAAGGTGAAGGCGGCAGAGATGGTGTCTCACACCACCAGGTTGGCGGAGAAGAAGGGAAGTAGCTCCAGTGACTGCTCAGATCAGAAGACAAACGAACTGATTGAAGTCACCGAATCCAATCAAGGAAAGAAAATGGATGACCCACCCAACAATACTAAAGCACCATCAAAGTAAGTCTTGTCTTACCTGTGTATTAAGTAGGTCTGTGATTTGAACAAAACTATAGATTAGTGGTTTGGGGATAGCATGACTGTTAAACGTATATACAGATAACTGTGTTCAAAGCCGTAAGCAACCATTCTCCCATCCATTAAACATTTTTGTATTGACACACACATACAGCCAGAGCAAACTCTGATGCAGAGCTAGGTGATATGTTAATACAGTACATGACTTGGCATTATTCTAGGGTAAAACAAGATGATGTGAAGGAGGCGGAACCCAAAGAGCGACCTCCTCCCAAGAAATGTCATAGCAGCAGTAAGGGCAGCAGCCAGGACTCGCCCAGTAAGAAGTGCAACGGCAGTCCCAAGAACAAGGGTCCGGAGGCAGTTGTGCTTGAGACTGATGAGGAGCTGGCACAAGTTGTGGAAATTGTAAGTTTTCGCAGTGCACAACCCTCGTGATGATCAGGGTTTGAATTGGTCTAGAGACAGTACCTTAAAACTTTCAAGTGCACAGAACCTTGTTTTATCAAACTATTGGTGACCAGAGAAATAGTTTGTCTTATCTGGGGTTTAACACATCCAACTTGATCTTATTGCAGACTGACTCAGGTTTCATACAACAGAGCACAAACATACTACATTGTGCATGTTGTGTAAGTGACATTTAAATGATAAGGACTGAAAACAGAAGCCAATCAACTGATTCCTAGCTTTGTGTTTCATGCCATATCCTGTTCAGGCCATTATTCTTGATAGAATTTTTTTTTCACAAGTGTTCAGCTCAACATAGCAGAGTATGTTTTATTTTATTTATTCTTAATACTTGGGACGTGTTTGAGATAATCTGTTTGACACATCCAGGTTAAAATAGTGATAAATAAATTTGGAGATTGCAACACAGTCTCAGACCTCGATACAACTAGGTATAATCAAGACCATGGGTTTCGACTATGTTTCTGACCTAGGAACCTGACTATGGCAAGCTGGTGTGGGCTCGGTTGTCTGGTGAACGATGGTGGCCAGGAACCATTGTCAAGGGAACCCTGATTTACCTCCAGTCTCAGAAATCTGCTTCATCGTGGGTGTACTGGTTTGGGGATCACAAAGTGTCTCAGGTAGGTGGCCACGTTATCTTCCCGTCTAGACCCAGGTCTGAATAGGCCCCCAGCTAGGGGTGAAACGATACATTGGTGTACCGGTGCATCATGAGTTTCATGCCACGATACGATACGTGATAGGTTTTTTTTCTGCATCGATACAAGATGATACACTTGCAAAAGGAAATGGCTTGCTACTCATTTAATGACACCCGGCATTTTTGTCCGTCAAATATTGCAAAATGTGTTGAAATTAGGATTTCAAGTTCACTGCTAAAAATAGTCACTACAAACATGTGTCTACAGCTAGCTTTACCTTTATTTTTTTAAATATTTCTAGTCAAAAAGTTTCCACACATTTTTTACGTAAATATGCATATCGAAATATGTAACGTATCGTGACCTATGTATTGTGATACATATCGTATCATGACCTTGCTGCATCATTTCAAGCCTACCCCCAGCACTCCATTGCTGCTTGTGAGAGGCGACTCACTTGGACCCGGTTGTGTGACTTGTCTGATTACGTGCCATGCTTTCAGTCACTGGTTTTACTGGTCCAGTCTTGATTATTAACTGCTGTTACACAGCTGAAATAATCATAAAAATGCTAACTTCCTCCTAATTTCACTCACTCAGGCACTAGAGCTGTAATGAATATACAAAGTGGCTAATACGAATGATTATTCATGAATGCCATATTTTCTTTCATATAATTTAATGTACATTTTATTCCACAAAATATGCAACTGTGCAAACAGGGTGTACATTTTACACACAAAAATAGTTTTTGATATTGGTTGCTTAAAACAAATACAATACGGGAATATCGTAGAACGGAAATAGCCTATTAATGTTAGTTCTTTTTACCCTGTCTGGTTATAAAAAGGGTTCATACTATAGTGAATAGCAGTATGTCTTAAACTTCGATTATTTTGAGAATGACGTTACATGATAAAGGGATTATTGCCATAGATACGAAAACACACTCGGCTAATAATCTTCTTTTATGTTTTAATCTAGTTTCTTAATTTTATTCAAAATTTCGTTCATTATCCTTTATGACAGGCCAAACCAACTCACCGTTTTATTTGCAGCAAATCAAAGAGATTACCACTTTTGACGCCTTGCAGCAAACTTTGTTTGTCACAGAATAGATACATATATCATAAATGCCATATTTTGGCTCATAAACATCCCATCTCACACTATGCATTTATTCCTTCGTCTTTCGATCCTGGTGTTAAAACGTCCTCAACGTCACTGTCACAGCTGTAGTAGTATATCTTTCAGGGCTGGGACGGGTCACTCGGGTACTCAAGTCGGGTGGGTACTGAGTAGGACCTGGGAACCCACAGGACTACCCAGACCCATGGTTAGTCACGTGACATATTGTTTAATGACAAAAAATATCAAAAACTCTATGGTTACACTACAAGTCACTAATGTTTGCATTTTTTCTGACTATGCACCCATTCCTTCTGACCTTTATAGGTTTGAAAAAAGATAAAACTTCAGTCAACTTCAGTGTATGCATGACCAGATCGATTTATACGTGCATCTAAATACATTTTACCAGGGCCACGGTCAAACTATTACCAATCAGATATTTTACACCCAAGTCTTGAGACATATAGCGGGTATCCGGGTAGGGTCGGGTAATAGCGTGGTGGGTACCCGGGTAGGGTCAGGTAATAGGAGATGGGGAACCGGGTAGTAAATTTGGACTCTTCCCAGCCCTAATATCTATATGATTATGCAAAACAATATGTTAGTGCACAAAGTGAATTGCATTAGGCCAGTCTGTTTTGATTTCAGAATAAACATGTTTTTTTGAAAACAAGAGGAAAGTCTGGTACTGTTTCCAGCTCCCGAACACATCCCAGCATCACCATGGTTACCAGCTAAACAATGGGTCATGCACCACTGCAATCCTGTGGGACATGACCCCCAAGAGACCTGATCACCTGACATACACTGTCACATCATTCTCTTGTTGCCACGGTGTGGTGACGTATTTTCAGTTTACAGATAATTACATATTTATGTTTTGTTTGAATCTTCCTCGGACAACTATAATATATCAGTCAGTGTAACATGACAACTATGGGGAGGACGATTCTCATAAATATTTTCGCAAATGTCACAAGCGTACCATTAACCTGCAGTCGAAATCTGTACCTAAGGCCACGGAGCACAGACCTTCCACTACGAAGAAACGTAAACGTGTCACTCAATTATCTGTCAGATCGTCTGTTCCTGAGATAAAGCCTGCTAAATCAGCGACCATCACGTCACCATTTGTCTCAGATAGTTTTGGTCGAGGACAAACAAGCCTCACAGTGTGACCAGACACTTCGCAGATATTTGACTTTCATTCCCCGTATCCAATCGGGATGAACAACGTGAGGATGGGACTGCTGACCCCTCAGAGGATTTAATTTTTCTGCCCAGGAATCACATCGACGATCACCGGCAACTAAGGAGTGAGTTTATGTTCCCCTTCACTTTTTCCACGAGGCAGATAGTGTCGGAAACGGAGCACTTTTCCTCACTTGATCTAACATTATTGTTCCGAAGATTCAGATCGACATCAACAGGCAGATTAACATTGGAAAGCAGATTGATATCGGTCTGATGATCCTAATTATCCCCCGCCCAACGAAGTTGGGGGGGGATATAGAAACAGGGTCCGTCCGTCTGTCCGTCACGTTTCGTTTTCGGGAGCATAACTCATAAACCTTTCAATATTTTTTCATGAAACTTTGCAGGTCTGTCAGGTACATGCTGAACTGGTGCCTTTTGCTATTGAGAAATTTTAGAATTTTTTATTTTTTACGTTTCCATGGCAACAAGATGGACTTAGGTTATGTGAGGGTAGGGTTCGTTTCCGGAGCATAACTCATAAACCATTCAATATTTTTTCATGAAACTTTGCAGGTCTGTCAGGTACATGCTGAACTGGTGCCTTTTGCTATTTAGAAATTTTAGAAATATTTACTTTTTACGTTTCCATAGCAACAAGATGGACTTTGTTTTTTACAATTTCCATGACAAGTTCCACCTCGGTTAAAAAAGTTAGGGTTTGTTTAGATTTAATTATGTCATAAATTCTGGCGGGGGATATAGCCACGTTAGTTGCAAACTCTTGTTGACTATGGGTTCGACATCATTGTATGGATTGACGTCGAGGCACCCATCCAGTGGATAGATATCGACGTTTTTTACACATCCAGATAGACATCAATACCCGCCTCCTATGAATCAACACTGCGATCAACATCAACCCCAGGGTCAATATCAACTAGGGGATTGTCATCAATATGCCTCTTCTAGGAGATGACATGAAAATTAAGATTGATACACATTCCAGCAGATCGACATAAACAAGAGTAATCCAAATTATCATCATCACCCTCATTCATATACTCCTATCAGTTGGGGGGGGGTGGGGACGGTTGGGTAGCCTAGTGGTTAAAGGGTTCACTTGTCATACCGAAGATCCAGGTACGATTCCCGACATGGGTACAATGTGTGACGCCCATTTCTGGTGTCCCCCACTGTGATATTGCTGGAATATTGCTAAAAGCAGTGTAAAACCATACTCGCTCACTTACTATCAGTTGGGAGACGTTATGACAGTCTGACAGTTCTCTCAGTCTGATATTCAAGTTTTGGTACAGATCATATCTACCCCTGTTAGTGTACAAATACATTAGTACATCACTCATAAACCACATGATATTTCCGTGAGCGTGCTAACGCCGTGTATCTTTCAGCCTGCAATTACTCTACACCAATCAGACAGGAAGGATCAACAGGAGTGTGCCTCGAACCTTCACCATGACCTCTGCTGATGGAGATTCGACTTTCATGGATAGGATCGTCACGGGTCTCAAGATCGATACCCTCGTGTCAACGTGGCATATCATGACAACACTCTCTTAGAGGATTGATAGAGCCATCATGTGCTGCCTATGTCAATGGAATCATCGATCACAGCAATCTTTTTTTTATCACCTACGGATCCTGACCCTGGCTATTGTTATTGCAGTTCTATTATTGTTCGGTGTATTTGTACCAAGAGGATTATTGTTTGACGATCGGGATAGGGAATGTTACCCTTCTCAGGAGTGACATCATCGAGTGAGTTAGGATCGACTGTATTAATTGATCTGTCATGAGTATGATCGGCAGTGCTTAGACAAATGTTGATTTTTTCCAAGCAGAGTTCAAATTGCTAGTGCACTGGTATCGTCCTACATTCTACAAGGCAACAGGTTGCCTATGTTGCATTATTCTTTGGAACTCGTTCATCTGTCACGTGATAGTTTTTTGTGCATGTGTGGAGCTTTGACCATAAATTTGGCAACACACTCAGGCGCAGTGAAGACTTAATAGCATAACACCACCGCCACAGTCTAGACAAACACACATGTTCTGAAATCAGGACAGACAGGCCTAATACAATTCACTGTGTGCGCTTTACATATTTTTTGCATAATTATGTAGATATACCACTACAACTGTGACAGTGAGGTTTATGATGTTTCCCAACCAGGATCGAAAGAAGAAATGCATAGCGTCAGATCAATATAAAATTTATCCAAAAGTCTTCAAGTCTCTGATATTTGACTATTGTATGGCTGTAGATCTACCTGGATATTGTTTACATGATCAATACAGAAAGAACACTGGAAGCTGAATTGCTGTTTGTCATCAGACTGTTCCATTTGTAAAATATGACTGCTTATTTATATAAATACCAAAGTGATACTCACTGAGTCAGTGTTGGTTTGTGTTTTAGTGGGGAAAAATACTTGATTTAATATGTTGCAAATATAAAATACTCAAGTGCTGATAATTTTTGATTCACTGAATATTTAAGTGAATCATAACACCATGATCAGCCACTCAGTTTGACCATACAAATCATTCAATCAAGGACACATTTTTTGACTGCACCTTGTACACAAGATGCATTTATTCCCCACAGTGGTGTGTGTGTATTATACTCAAATCCATTCTCTACACAAGAAAATATGGCACTTTAATTGCAGGTCTCTCGTGACAAGATCATACCTTTCCCTGAGAACTACAAGGCCAAAGTGGGCAACTTCAAGAGCAAGATGTATCGCAAGGCTGTTCTAGAGGCACTAGCAGTAAGTTTGGCTGCAGGTTTTGTAACTGAACACATGATGTGAATAATCTCACGATAAAATGATGAGTCGGTAATACAGAACTAGGGGACCCTTATCACACATGGAAGATCATTTGATTTTTTTGCAAAGTCAGTGACGTGAGCCCTCTAGCAATTTGTAGCACAGATATATATATACAGTGAACCCTCGCTACAACGCTACCTTCGGGGTCCAAACAATTGATGAGCGTTATAGATGATCAGTGGTTTAACGAAGGTCGAGTCGTAGGTGGTAGATGACCAACAAAACAGTATACATGCTCTGCCTACTTAACACGATCTATGTTGCACATTTCAGAGTTTCAAAAAAGATTTCGCCGAAATTATTGTAAACATTATTGAATGAAATTTTGAATATAATTAAAAAAAATATATTGCAAACATTAGTCCAGATAAACAATAAACATTTTTGTATATTACAAAATATTATTATAAAAGGATTAAATTGCGTACTTCAGTTCGGATTTGTTGACTGGTATTTCCGGTGTTACATGATCGCGGTGATCAGCTGATAATGTTTTCTGAGATGGGGAAAACATCGTGTCATTGAAAAACTTGAGTTTATTGAAAATGTTAGTAAATTTTGGGAGCCATGCTTTACCACGCGCTATAACCGAGTTAGCGCTATATTGAAGGGCGCAATAACGAGGGAACACTGTATATTTTTCATTTATCAAAGGTTCACCAGATACTTTGGTTTTGTCCTGCTGTTCTTTGTAAAACTAGTGCTTCATCTTCTTCACTCAAACATTGATTGCCTGTGCTTAGAAGCATCTCTGAAGTTTTGTTCCTGACAGTGTGAAGTTCGTCAAGATGTTGGACAGGCCCTTTCATAGTAGCCTGTCAGTTACCTCAAAGTGATGCTTGAAATGTACACTACCTACTTTGTAGGAATGCTGTCGCCGAGGAGGTCCACATGTCAACAACAACAATGACACCCAGATGCTGCAGTGGGCAGAAGCAGGCTTCCCTGACAGCACAACGGGCAGACAGGTGTCTCTGGACCCCCCTGAAGGTAACCTAGATTCCACTCAAAGTACTCCTGGATCATCTTTCAAGGTCACTATTTAACCTTTTCAAGGTACCCCGAGATTCTCTAGATCTATCTCATCTAAAAAAACCTCATTCTGCCACTGGACCCCCCTCATAGTATGGGGAACCTCTTTCATGGTCACTTTTTAACCCAGAGATTCTCTCGATCCTTTATCTTTTCCTCTAGATTCCCCTAAAGGTACCCGTTATTCCCCATAAATACCCCCTAGATTCCTCCCAAGTACCTGTACATTCACCCCCCAATATATCCACAAGTATCCAGGATCCTCCTTCAAGGTCACTATTTACCCCTCACAAGGTACCCTAGATACCCCAAAGGTACCCCGAAATTCTCTAGAACTCCCCCCATACCACTAGCACCCGCTGAATCTACTGCCACCACAGGGTAACCAAGACACTTGCTTCCCCCGAGTACCTCTAGATGTCTCTCAGTACTCATAAGACTTATATGCATTAAAGACTTTCTTCTCAAACTAGCGAACTTACACTATTCCTGTGTATCTGAGACCTCCGTACTGTTGTAAACTATGATGTGCATGTTTCAGACTGTCCTTTGCCTGACTCGATGATGGGCTGCCTCAGTGAGATCGGGAAGGACATCAGAAGGAAGGTGGCCAGTATGTCTGTCAGCAGCAAGCAGCCAGATGACAACAGAGGTTGGTGCAGTGTGTTGGCAAAGATAGTGGCAGGGTGGTGGTCTAGTTTGTCCTGGCAGGGTGGTGTTGTTTGGCTTGCTGTGGCCTGGTGTAGCAGGGTGGTGGTCTAGTTTGTCCTGGCAGGGTGGTGGTCTAGTTTGTCCTGGCAGGGTGGTGGTGTTTGGCTAGGTGTGGCCTGGTGTAGCAGGGTGGTGGTCTAGTTTGTCCTGGCAGGGTGGTGGTGTTTGGCTTGCTGTGGCCTGGTGTAGCAGGGTGGTGGTCTAGTTTGTCCTGGCAGGGTGGTGGTGTTTGGCTAGGTGTGGCCTGGTGTAGCAGGGTGGTGGTGTTTGGCTAGGTGTGGCCTGGTGTAGCAGGGTGGTGGTCTAGTTTGTCCTGGCAGGGTGGTGGTGTTTGGCTTGCTGTGGCCTGGTGTAGCAGGGTGGTGGTCTAGTTTGTCCTGGCAGGGTGTTGTTGTTTGGCTTGGTGTAGCAGGGTGGTCCATGGTTTGTTGTGGTGTGGTATGGCATTGCTTGGGTGTGGCATGGTTTGACAGGGTGAGGTGGGTTGTGTGTGGCAGGGGTCTAATGAGTGAGAATGGAGATCACCATTCTGATGTTTCAATCAGATAAAGTTAAGGGCCATCCGATTCTTACATATTACTACAGTTAAAATGTCATGCTAGGACAGATTGACTATTTTGAGTAATATGGAAAAAGTCGGTGGTCCTAAACCTTTTTTTACTAGTATATTGAGATAATAACATACATATTCAACATCTAAAGTTAGTTGTTTTTTCAAATTAGTCTAATATCACTTAATCCAAGTAGCTTTTTATTTAATGTGAAAAACATCCATACCATTACATACTGTTTCTTGGTCATTTGATTTCTTAAAAGTTTGGAAGAGGACTTTGTTGGGGTTATTCAGTTTGTTGAAAGAACTTTCTACGCTGAAACCTTTAGACATTAAGGTGTCAGGTAGCTTGTGCAAAGGTATTCATTCCACTATGGCAGTACTGGGAGAATGAGTTTGGTGTGAACTCTGCTGTGAACAGTATTCCAGTTATATCACAGTGTGTAAGCTTAAAGTGGAAGGATAGCCCCATGTGATGCAGGTCTCACCACGAGCACAGGTATGGTGCTGACAAACCTGAAAACATGATCGGGGAGAACCAGGATTTGAACCCACAATCATTTTTTTCTAGCATGTCCATGGGATGCAACTCTGCACAGCGAATTGGATCACCTGCGACACCTAGGCTGTCTGCGCCCCCACTATGGCAATAATGTAGCATATGCTTTCTCCAAAATGGTACTGTGACATGAAGTACATCATATGACATCCTATTATTGACTGACCTTTGAACTGAATCTTCGACACCATAATTATCTAGTAAGAATTAACGTGGTGTGAGGTCAAAGAAAGGTTTTGTTTTGCAGATAATGCCGTGGAAGCTGTTAGAAAGGGGCAGAAACAACTGAAGGGTAAGTCACGTAGTGGTACAGGACAACTCGCAGGTAAGCCATGGAACAGGAACTTCATTTTTCCTGAGCAGAGTTGGTTCCACATTGGGATCTTCTCACTGCAAAAGGGACCAGCTCCATGGTCTAGTGGATAGAGTCTGCCCAGACCACCTTCGTGGCCTAGTGGATAGAGCGTCTGCCTGGAGAGCAGAAGTTTGGTGGTTCAATCCCCTGACTGCGTCATACCAAAAGATTGTGCTTGTTGTTACCCTGCCTTAGTCTCTGCATTAAGATGATAAAATGAGGACTTGTCAGTTCAAGGTCTGTATGTTGTGTCTGAGTATCCTCTCCTCTCTTCTCACCTCACCTCACCTCACCTCACCTCACCTCACCTCACCTCACCTCACCTGCAGCCAACTTCAGAATTCTTTTTGTTAATTTACTCAATTTGGTCATTGAAGTACAGGTCACTTCTTCAAAGCAAAAATATCCGTTATTACTGTATGACATGAATTGTGAAATTTGTAGTTCCAAATTTGGGAATTTTCACTGACATTTGCTGCAGACTTGGGCCGAACAACGGCCCCTGAGCAGCCCCAGATAAATCCTTGTATTGTACAACCCTTCTAGCCATGCCTCCTGCATCTTGACATTGTTGATTGCCTCGAAGTTGTAAAGAGAGAGATAGCATTGGTTGGTCTTAATGGTACATGCATGTAAAAAAAATGCAAAAGCATTGTGTGCTTGTAGATAGGATTTTATGAATGCTTCTATAAGGATAAGACCAGGGAGGGGCATTTAGAAATTGGGTATGTAACTCCAGGAAAAGAAACTGGGGATATTCAACTTCTTTATTTCCAAAAAAGTCTGTTGCCATTAAAACTCTATGTTTTTAAGAAACTGATTTTACTGAAAGTATGTATGTTGTCTGTTAAAAAATAGATTCCATGTAAATTATAATGTGAGTAAAGTATCTGTCAAATACAATTTCCACCTCCTTTAAGTTAACATGGATCACATATTTCTTAAGATACTGCTGATACGTATATGCAGATATGTATTTACTGCTTCTGTATTGTACAGCCTACTGTAAGAAATCGTTTTGTCCAAAATGGGATAGTTTTGTTTTCCTCAATTCAAAGGCATTTTAAAATTGAATTAATGCAACAATGTGAAACTAGGTATGAGATCACTGTCCTCTATTTTGTTTGTTCTGTTATCGGTGAAATACGAATGAAACGTGCACAGCTTTATAACATTAGTTATCATCCCCTGCCACGAAGTGGGGCGAGAGATGTATGAAAGGAGTTCGTCCGTCAGACCTTGTTGTTATCTATCAAGTTAGCTTATCTAAGAGATTCTTATCAAGACAGTTATTTTTTCCAGAGAAGTGGCTTTTTGTGTGTATTAATTTCACAATTAATCATTGCTTCTGGTGACATGAAGCGGCCAAAGTGGCTATCTCTTTCTAAGGCTTTATAGTACTTTTTATTGTTCATATTCACTACTATATGACAAACAAAATTCTTGTGTACCCCATGACAGGGGATAGTGATGACGCTGTTTTCGTGTTATCACAGTAGCATGAATGGGAATGTGGAAGTTTCAGATTGGTTGGTTGGTTGGTTGGTTGGTTTGTTGTTTAACGCCACACTCAGCAATATTCCAGCTATATGACGGCGGTCTGTAAATAATCGAGGTCTGGACCAGACAATCCAGTGATTGATATCATGAGCATCGATCCACGCAATTGGGATCGATGACCGTGCATCAACCAAGTCGGCAAGCCTGACCACCCGATCCTGTTAGTCGCCTTTTACGACAAACATAGTCGCCTTTTACGGCAAGCATGGGTTGCTGAAGACCTATTCTACCCCGGATCTTCATGGGTCGGAAGCTTCAGATGGGACATTTTCAATGACAAATGCTGAAAATGGATGTCTGAGAAGGCGTAAATAACTGTGTGGTTTGTTGTAGATATCTGCATCAGCTGTTCAGACCTGGAACAGCAGGTGGTGTGTGGACATCCATTGTTTGAAGGAGGCCTTTGTCCTGGATGCAAGGTAGGAGGCACCATGTGAATGTTTGGCAAATTAGCTTTTACCTTGACCAGGTTTTTGTGACATTTTGTCATGTTACATTCATTAATTGATTAATTTCTTTAACCTTAACAAATTTGTATTCTCGAAAATCAAATTGGCGTACCAGTAATGTATTTCCACAGTATGCAGTATACATGCTATGCATGTATTTGGCGTCTATAGTGTTAGTTATTGTATTGTGGTAAATTAAAGTTAGATGGCAGATACAGAATTAAATATATGCTCATTAGAGAGAGAGAGGGAGAGAGAGCTAAAATGTACATGCACAAGGTTTTTCATATCCTTGTTTTTGCAGACGGAGGTAACAGACACGATGTACGCCGTTGGGGATGACGGACTTCATGTGAGTTCCTGTTATAGATATGCATATGTTTTTTAATGTGACAACTTTTATGACATTTGAGATAAAACCTTACTGGTGTTGAAAAATATGTTGACATATATCACAACATGATGTCATTAGCGGCTGTATTGATCTGTTTGTTTCAGAGTTTCTGTGCTGTCTGTGGAGCCGGGGGAGACCTGTTTGTTTGTGATTCTCCTGAGTGTAAAAGGTTAGTGCATTAGACCAAGGGAATTGGAAGTTCTGGAAGTTGTGTATGTTTGCGCTTCAGAGTGTACTGGTTAATGTTTCAGGGTGTACTGGTTAATGTTTCAGGGTGTACAGGTTAATGTTTCAGGGTGTACTGGTTAATGTTTCAGGGCGTACTGGTTCATGTTTCAGATTAATTACATGTTTTCATGTTTCAGGGTGTACTGGTTAATGTTTCAGGGTGTACAGGTTAATGTTTCAGGGTGTACTGGTTCATGTTTCAGGGTGTACAGGATCATGTTTCAGGGTGTACAGGTTAATGTTTCAGAGTGTACTGGTTAATTATTCAGGGTGTACTGGTTAATGTTTCAGGGTGTAGAAGTTAATGTTTCAGGGTGTACTGGTTAATGTTTCAGGGTGTAGAAGTTAATGTTTCAGGGTGTACTGGCTAATTTCTCAGGGTGTACTGGTTCATGTTTCAGGGTGTACTGGTTCATGTTTCAGGGTGTACAGGTTAATGTTTCAGGGTGTACTGGTTCATGTTTCAGGGTGTACAGGTTAATGTTTCAGAGTGTACTGGTTAATTATTCAGGGTGTACTGGTTAATGTTTCAGGGTGTAGAAGTTAATGTTTCAGGGTGTACTGGTTAATGTTTCAGGGTGTAGAAGTTAATGTTTCAGGGTGTACTGGCTAATTTCTCAGGGTGTACTGGTTCATGTTTCAGGGTGTACTGGTTCATGTTTCAGGGTGTACTGGTTAATGTTTCAGGGTATACTGGTTCATGTTTCAGGGTATACTGGTTCATGTTTCAGGGTGTGATGGTTCATGTTTCAGGGTGTACTGGTTCATGTTTCAGGGTACATGCTTCAGATTACATGTTTTCATGTTTCAGGGTGTACTGGTTCATGTTTCAGGGTGTACTGGTTAATGTTTCAGATTGCATGCTTCAGATTACATGTTTTCATGTTTCAGGGTGTACTGCAGGCCATGTGTCGAGGAACTAGGAGGGGAAGATATGCTGCAACAGGTATCTCCCACAGTTGCAGTCAGACTTGGCTGTGTTTTCCAAAAGAATTAATTAGGCATGACATGACCTTAGATTCATACTCCTATTTATTCAGACCTGATCTGCATGTCGAACAGATTTATATTATAAAAGAACCTTTTCGTCTAATAGACATTACCATTTGCCCATTTCAACTGATATAGCTTGTGGTATAAGGTACTTAATTGCAACTTTATCACTAGTTCCAGAGAGGATTAGCAACTTCATTCTTGTACACTGTGTATCAGACCTGGAGGTCACGTGGCACTTCATGCTTTGCAGTGGAAACAACCTTCTCTTCTGGCAGGTGATAGCGGCCAGCAGGTGGCACTGCTTCCTGTGTTCCTCGTGTACCGACCAGCCTTACTGTCTCCTCCGTCCTCGTCCCAACTCACAGGAGATGATCATTAGGTTTTTTGACACAGGGTACCGGGTACAGGTAAGGGACTGTACTGATGTATCATGCAGGGGAGGGGTGTGTGCCACTGATGTATCATGCAGGTGATGAGTGCAGGAGAGGGGGAGTCACTGATGTGTCATGCAGGTAGCGAGTGCAGGAGAGGGGGAGTCACTGATGTGTCATGCAGGTAACGAGTGAAGGTGAGGGGGAGTCACTGATGTATCATGCAGGTAGCGAGTGCAGGAGAGGGGGAGTCACTGATGTGTCATGCAGGTAACGAGTGAAGGTGAGGGGGAGTCACTGATGTATCATGCAGGTAACGAGTGAAGGTGAGGGGGAGTCACTGATGTATCATGCAGGTAGCGAGTGAAGGTGAGGGGGAGTCACTGATGTATCATGCAGGTAGCGAGTGAAGGTGAGGGGGAGTCACTGATGTATCTTGCAGGTAACGAGTGTAGGTGAGGGGGAGTCACTGATGTATCATGCAGGTAACGAGTGTAGGTGAGGGGGAGTCACTATTGGAGAAAACACGCTCACGAGGTTTTGGTAGACAGAGCATGCCCTGGGGAGAGGGAAAAACCAAGGGGGCGAAGCCCCCGCGGTTTTTCCCGACCCCCAGGGCATGCTCTGTCTACCAAAACCGAGGGAAAGTGGTTTTCCATGCTTATAAACCGAAAAAAGAAACTTAAAACAACATTTTTCAACATTTTTATGTTTCGAACATACTTTCCATGAACCTTAGGAAACGCGCGTAAAATATCTGTTGCTGGGGTACGGATCTTGAATAGGACATTCTTAAAACCAGTGAGTCTTATCAACACCTCTGTAGCCTCGTGGTACACTCACTGGGCTACAGATATGAAGGTTGCGGTTCGATCCTCGGGAATAGAAAGAAAACATTTGTCATTTGATTTTACATTTCATTATATAAAATCCCTGGGATATTATATAAAATCCCAGGGACATTACAACGTCCCTGTTTATGAGATTAACCCGACTGGAAAGTAAAACTTCACAATAGGTTTTAATGCCTATAGAAAGAAGTCTCTTACTTAAAAGCGATCCCAATGAATAGGTTTATAAGCAGGTAACGAGTGTAGGTGAGGGGTAGTCACTGATATATCATGCAGTTAATAAGTGTAGGTGAGGGGGAGTCACTGATGTATCATGCAGGTAACGAGTGCAGGTGAGGGGGAGTCACTGATATATCATGTAGGTAACAGGTGTAGTTGAGAGGGAATCATCGAGGAGCCAAGGAGATACTCATTTGCTCATACTTGGCACAGGTACAGGGTTCAAGTGAAGGTGGAGTAGGTATAGACATGACACCGGTACAGGTATGCAGGTAATGTACTTGACACAAGTTGAATGAGAGGGGTGGGCAGAGGTGTACTGTCACAATACATAATTCATCTTCTTATCTCCATGATTTTTATTTTTGCTCTTTGTCTCCTCCACAGATGCCCAGCTTAGCCTACTTCCGCACGAAGAGACCACTCCGGGTCCTCAGTCTGTTTGACGGCATAGGCAGTGGTGAGTGACATAGACAGATCACCAAATGCAGATCAAGAAGAGGTGCAGGGTTGGGCACCACCCCTTTTGAAGCACACTATACATTCATGCATTCAGGGATTTAGTGGTCTAGTGGTAGAGCATCTGCCCGTAGAGCAGAAGGTCTGGGGTTCAATCCCCTGCCGCATCAGATCAAAAGACGTTCAAAGATGGTACTTGTTGTTACCCTGTCTGGCGCTCGGCATTAAGGGGCTGAAACAAGGACTGGTCGGCTCGGAGTCAGTATACTGTGTCTGAGCATGGTATCTGTGTGCTAGCACTTCAAATCGGCATCAGTCTGGACTAGTACAAGCAGCCACACAAACTCACACCCGTACATGCATGTCACTTTATAAGTGCAATAATCCTCGACGTGACGTTTAACCCCATTTCACCTCACCTAATAAATAACATGGTCTAGTAAAAGGTAACTACAGCATGAAAATTGACCAACTCTTTTGGTGATACATTTCCAAACAGATTCACAATTACTGCCTGGGGAACGCAAATTGAAGCCCTGGTTGTATCCATGCTTAAATGTCAGTTGTGTTGTCAGCATTGAATCATAACAGATTACAATATCAATAGAAACGACTGACTGGCAACAGTTATCCATGCACTCCTTCACCTCACCTCTGATGTACTACATGCGTTTCCTTCTTGCCAGGGAAATTAACACTTGACCAGCTTGGCTTCAGTGTTGATGCCTACTACGCCAGTGAGATTGATGCTGATGCCATCATTGTTACCAGATGTAACCATGGCAACTCGGTGGTCCATGTGGGAGATGTCACACGGCTGGATCACGAGAAGGTTGGTGCAGGTGCCCTTGGTGAACATTTGTTAATGTGTCCCCTGAATCCTGATCCTGCACTTACTTGACCACATGAGAATTCAGGGGCGGACATACCCAACTCCCAGTACTTGTTGTATTTACTAGCTCTTCGCAAGCATCTGGCCCCTCTCCCACTACTTACTTACTTACTTACTTTGGAGATTTAACGTGCGCTTTCCGACTGATGCGTATTTCGCACACGGGCCCGGCCAGGCCATTTAATGTGTTTCCAAAAGGGGCGAAGGTGGTCTGTGCAACCCAAGAGGGGGGTTTTAGGGGTTGCTTATATAGAATTTGGGAATTTTGAGATTTGGAATAGATGCCGATGGGATTGGGGAGGAGAACTAAGGGAGCTGGGTATGGTGGATGTTTGTTTGTTTATGTGATTTTGATTTGGTAGGTTATTGTGTTTTTAGATGCGTTTTATTAGTTCCGTTTTTATTAAGAATACGCCTAAGGCCTTGAAGTTTTCTAGTTTATTTTGTGGGTTTAGTATTGCTTCTAGAGTTAGAGCCTTGTTTAGATTGAGGGTGGTTTGTAATGCGGTTCGATGTGTTAGGTAGTGTGTGCAGTGGATGAGTGCGTGTTCTGGGGTTTCTGGTTGTTTGCAGTGTGGGCAGTTACCTGTAGTGTGTTTTTTAAAATATTTTAGGTGGTTATTTAGGTTGGTGTGTCCTGTTTGGAGTTTAGTGATTACTCTGTCGATTTTTTTGGATGGATGGAGAATTTTTGGTTTGGTTAGTGGTTTGCTGAGCACTTTTTTGATTTGGCTATTTGAGTTTAGATATAGGTTATGCCATTTTTTTGTGATTTTTTGCTTGTTTACACTTTTAATTTCTGATTTTGAGATGGGTAAGTTTTAGCTTATTTCTGGGATTTTGAGGGATAGTTTAGCTGCTTTATCGGCGTTTTCATTACTGTATATTCCTACGTGGGCGGGTATCCACAAGAAGGTTATTTGTTTTGCCTGCCTTAGTTAGGTCGTTGGAGCTTTTAAGTATTTGATTTATTAATTTAGGTCGGTTTTTGGTATTTTTGTTTTGGAGGGCTTGCAGTCCACTTAGGGAGTCGGTAAGTATTAGGATTTTTTTGTGGTTTTTGGATTCTTGATTATGGAGGGCTGAGGCCATGCCCATTAGTTCTGCCGTGAATATTGATTGGTTGTTTGGGAGTCGGAAGGATTGTGTGGTTTTAGTTGGTTGTGTGGTATGGACTCCGAAACCTGTGTGTTTGGAGGTCGGATCTGAGGATCCGTCCGTGTAAATGTGACACCAATTTGGCCAATTTTCGTGTATGTATGCTAGTGTGGTAGTTTTAGCTATGTTTGGGTCGGTTTGTTTATTTATTTGGCTAGCTAGTGTTGTGTCTATTTTGGGTATTTTAAGTTTAGGGGTGAAGATATTTGATTGTTTGCAGTTTTGTTTAAGATTTTTAATTTGGTGTTCATTTAGGTAGTTTGTTATTCTTTGGGATATTGGGGTAAGTAAGGGGTGTTTACGAGCTAGAGCTTGGTTTTTGGGGCTGATGTTTTGGTTTATTAAGTTTTGGATGAGAGGGTTTGATTGGGACGCGGCCCAGAAATTTAAGCTTAGCTGTTCCCTGCGTAGACTTAGTGGCATTTCTCCTGTTAAGGCCTGAAGTGAGGTGTAGGAGGTGCCATGTTGGGTGCGTGTAATTAGTTTGAGAGCCTAATATTGTATTGAGTCAAGTTTTTTAGATAGAGAGTTGTTTAGGGTGTTGTATATGGCGCAGCCGTAGTCTAGTTTTGATCTAATTAGTGATATGTAGAGAGAGAGGAGGGTATCTTTGGATGCTCCCCAGTTAGAGCCAGTTAGGCATCTTAGGGTGTTTAGGTCTTTACTGCATTTAGTTGTTAGGTTTTGGATGTGAGCATCCCAGGTGAGATGTTCATCGAAAATAAGTCCTAAGAATTTGGTTTGTTTTTGAAATTTGATTGTTTGATTGTTTAGCTGGAGGATTGGGGAGGCGGGTTTCATGTTTTTATGTTTGAATACTATTCCTGTTGTTTTTTCTGAGTTAAGGGAGAAGCCCCATTTGTCAGCCCATTGTTGTATTTTATTAAGAGATTTTTGGAGTAAATTTTGGACCATGTTCATGCTTTTAGTGCGGATCCAGATGGCTCCATCATCCGCGAATTTTGATGTGTTTACTTTAGGGGATAGGCCCTCGAATAGATCGTTTATCATTATATTGAAGAGGGTGGGGCTGAGGATACTGCCCTGTGGAGTACCATTTTCTAGGGGACATTGGTCCGATAGAGTTTGGTCTATACCCACGGTTATTTTACGATTGTTTAGGAAGTCCTGGATGTAGTTTATTATCTGACCTTTGAGTCCTATTTTTTTAAGTTTTTGTATTAGCCCATCGTGCCATACCATGTCGAAGGCTTTAGAGAAGTCTAAGAAGATGCCTGTGGTATATTGTTTATTTAGTTGTCCTGTCTTAATATCTTGTTCTAGTCGGGCAAGGTTATCTAGGGTTGAGCGGCCAGGAGTGAAACCGCTTTGATCTGGGTTTATGATGTTATTTTGGGTTAAGTAATGTTGTAATCTATTTTTAGCCATTGATTCCATTACTTTACATAAGTTTGAAGTTAGGGATATTGGTCTATATGAGTTAGCTTGATTAGCTGGTTTATTAGGTTTAGGGATTGGTATGACTAGGGCCTGTTTCCAGGGAGTAGGAACCTGTCCGTTTAGGTAGATGAGATTGTATAGTTTGAGTAGTGCCTGGAGTAGTTTTAGGGGGAGTTTTTTAATTATTTGGTAAGAAGTTAGGTCTAATCCTGGGGCTGTGCCCTTTTTCCTGTTTTGGATTACGTAGAGGAGCTCCTCCATTGTGTAGGGTTGATTTATTTCTAGATTGTTATTGTTTGGTTCTTTTGTGGGTTTGTTTTCTGTTTTAAGTTTATCTTGGAATTTTTTACTGAAGTTGGTGTTACTGCTAACGGCCGAAAAGTGGTTGGCGAGATTATTTGCTTTTTGGGCGGGGTTGGTTGAGTTGTCAATGTTAGGGGTTTTTTTATGTCGTTTTAAGCCTCTAATGGCGTGGATTTTGCGCCAGACCATTCTGGCATCTGTACGGTTATTTATACCTTCGCAGAATTTTTTCCAGTCTCTACTTTTGGCTATTTGGACTAGTTTTTGAACCTGGTGGTTTAGTTCGTGGGCTATGTTTAAATATTTGTAGTCGCGTTTTGCTTTATTGAAGGCTGATTTACGTTTTCGTCTAGTCTGTTCTATTTCCTCATTCCACCATGGTACCGTCGGTTTGCCTGTCTTAGATGTTTTGAAGGGGATGGAGGTTTTGGCTGCGTTTATTATATAGTCTGTTAGGTTTTTACAATAGGTTTCTGGATCATTATTTTCTATTTCGTTTAAGTTAGCTTCGTTGCAGATATCTTGGAATTGGTCCCAGTTAGCTTTATTGTAATGGAATTTTGGTTCTTGGTTTTCTGTTTGGATTGGTACGTTTGTATTTCCTATGGTTATGTTTATGGGGAAGTGGTCACTACCTAGCGGGACGTCGTGCACTTCCTATTGAGTACTTTGGGCTAGATCTGCGGTGCATATGGTTAGGTCGATAGCCGACATTTTTTGGTTTATCTTATCGTACCTCGTGGGTTGGTTGCTATTAAGGAGTACTAGGTCGTTTGTTTCTATCCATTCGGAGATTAATTTGCCATGATTATCTATTTTATCATCTATGCTCCATGTAGGATGGTGAGCGTTAAAGTCTCCTAGGAATATAGTAGATTTATCGCTTATTTGGAGTAGTTTGTTTAGATCCTCAGGTTGGACTTTTTGTTCCGCCCAGTGGTAAATATTTATGATGTTTATGTTTCGGTTATTTAATGTGATTTTAATGCCGTTGGCTTCTAGGTTTGGCGTGTCTATTTTTATTTCTTCGTAATTTATATCTTCCCTGATAAATATGATTAGTCCTCCTGCGGCTCTTCTTGTTTTCGGTTTAGCTCTGTCAGTTCTAACTGAGTTGTAGTTAGGTAGTGTGAATTTGGATTTTTTTGAGAATTTGGTTTCCTGTATACAAGCAATGTGAGGGCCTTTATTTAGTTTAAATTTAGTTTTTAGTTCATGGCCGTGGGAGGTGAGTCCGTTGGCGTTCCACTGAAAAATATTTAGTCCTTCGAATATTGGGTTCGGGTGATTGGTGATTTATTTTTTATTTTTTATTTTATTCGGTGAGTTTTTTTAGATGGAGGTTAAAGAGGAAGAAGGGAAGATCGGTTAATTTTAGATTGAAAGCTACTTTGTAGAAGGATTTCATGCTAGCTTTTGGTGAGTTTTGACTATACATGTATGCTAGGAGTAAGGTGAGGTTATTTAGGTTTTGGGTGTTGGCTGGTTGGGGAGTTTGGTTTGTTTTAGTTGGAGTAGTGTCTATTGTTTCCTCAGTAGTGGAGAAATCTTCGTCATCGGTTAGATTAGGTTTAGCTGATTGAGTTTCCATGGGGGAGGCATGTGATGTGGAGGATTGTGAAGGTGTTTGTGGGATGGGTGTAGCTGATGATTTCTTAGTGTTTGTGTTTTGTTGTTGTGCTTGCTTGTGGGAGAGCGTTGTTACCATATGGGCTGTAGGGTGCTTGGATGAGGGTCGTGTTGTGGTGGTCATTTTGAGGTTTGTTTTGCATGCGGGGGTTGATGTTTTGGCTATGTGAGATGTGGGAGGGTTCGTGGTTGGTTAAGTGGCTGCTTGTATGTGTGAGGTGGGTGCGGTTTCTCGGTAGGGGCCCCAGACAGAGCTGTCGGTTATGGGTGTGGTGTTTGTTTGTGGGATGGTGTTTGGGTGTGGTGTAGGGAGGAGTGGTTTAGATGCAGGTGTAGCAAATTTTCGTGTTTGGATTTTAGCCGTGTCTATGTTTATGTGTTTGTTGGCCTGCTGGGTGAGTGTGTGTCTGTATGGGCATTGGTTTGAGAGTGAAGTGGGTGGATTTGCAGTGGATGCACCAGGGTGTGCATGTGCCTGGGCAGTCTGTTTGTGCGCATTTTTTACATTTAGTTTTACGGTATGTGCATTGGGAGGCAGTGTGGTTGTATTTGAGGCACTTTGTACATTGCTTAACCTGCTTTATATAGGGTTTGACTTCTAAGTTGGTGTGGGCTCGGAAGGATATGTGTTTGGGGGCTTCAGGGAATTTAGCGGTCTTTTTGAAGTTGATTATGACAATGGAGGTTGGGACCGTTTTTCCGTTTCTAGTTGAGGTTATTCTACGCGTGCTGGTGATTAGGGGTTGAGGGTTTTGGTCTTGGTTTATGTTAGCTTCTAGAGAGTATAATTGTAAGTCCTCAGTTGTTTCCCTTGGGTTAACCCTAATTATGCCTCGTGTATATTGTTGCCAATTAGGTGTTTGTTTGATTACTGTGACGTGGAATATTTGAGTTATTTTATTTGCTGCGTTGTAAGATTCTCGGTTAGGGAAGATTATCTGGTATCCTTTGTTGGCTTTTTTAATATTGTTGTAATTTATTTTTTCTCTTTTAAACCAAAGTCCTATTTTATCTGCCGAAAGTTCTAGTGAGAGAGTGGTGCCTGAGCCTGCTGAGAATAAGTAGAGGGAGAAGGTGGTGAGGAAGGCGGCCGGGGAGGGTGTGGGCGATGGAGGTGGAGTGGATGTGTCGAGTTTGCGTTTTTTGGTGTTTTGAGGTGGCGAGTTAGCTGGTTTGGTGGGGGTGGTGTGTGTCGTGTTTTCGCCATACTCGGTCGGGACAATGTTTTCGAGTGACCTCCCGGAAGTGTTGTGCGCTTCCGCAGGCGGGGTGAGTTAGGAGCTGGCATGTCTGCGAGTGTGGCGTTGCGGGTGTCAGTCATGTTGTTTGGAGAGTTGGAGAGCGTGTGTTGTGGTGAGTGGTGGTGGAGTGGGAGTGGTGTTTTGGGGAGGTGAGTTGGTTTGTTGTTTTTACTTGGTGAGTTGTGTGTAGCAGGCGGAGGAGGTTGCGGTGGTTATTTGTTGTTGGTTTTAGTAGGAGGGTTTGTGAAATGGATTAATTATTAAAGATTTATTTTGTTGCTGGAAGGCTGGGATTAGGTGAGACAAGTGGAAAGCGGGGATTAGGAGATATTTAGTCGAAGGAGTGGAGGTATGTGAGTGGTGGGCGTGGGTGGTGAGTAGGAAAGAGCGTGCGTTGTGTTAAGGAGAAGGGGGGATTAGGTGTTTTTTTGTTTTTGGGAGTTGGGTCAAAGGGTGTGTTTGAGTGGTGGGCGTGGGTAGTGAGTAGAAATGAGTGCGAGCTGTGTTAGGGAGATGGGGGAGGATAAGGTGTTGGTTATTTATAAGAGTTGAGTGTTGTTGTTGGTTTTAAGGATTTAGGGGTTTTGTGATTAATTCGGTGAGAGTGATGTATGTGAATAAGGATGAAAGGATAACGTGATAATTACCGATGATGGAGTTTCCTTGGCTGGCTATCAGGCAATGCTCTGTGCTGGCTTGGGAAGTGTTGCTCGCTTGGCCAAGACTCGATTATTTACAGACCGCTGTCCTATAGCTGGAATATTGCTAGGTTCGGCATTAAACAACAAACAAACAAACGATGAGAGTGATTTTAAGAGTATGTGAATAAGGCTGAAAGGATAACGTGATAATTACCGATGATGGATTTCTCCTTGGCTGGCTATCAGGCAATGCTCTGTGCTGGCTTGGGAGGTGTTGCCCGCTTGGAGTACAAACTGCAACTGCTCTCCCACTATGTGTTGTTGCATTAGGTGTTTAAGAGGTCGCCTTCTGCCTAGGCAATTTCGGCTGACCTGTCCCTCTTTGGGACTCCTGTGTGTGAGAAGGGTTCACATATCTATTGTGAGTTCGGTGTTCACATAATTTCTGTTTTTGCATTGATATGATTTCTATTTTCTTATATTGATATGATTTCATTTTTATCCTTGGCTGCTCTGTTTATATACGTTCGAGCAGCTGTCCATCTCTCAGAAATAGAGTTAGTTTGGCCTTCGCTATTGCATCTCTTGGCTTTAGGAGATCTATGACAGATAGCGGATCTAACTGCAATTCTTGTTTTAACCTAGCCCGGGCCGGGGCATGGTCTTGACATTCTAGTAACAGGTGGTCAATGGTTTCAGCCTGATTGCAAGATGAACAAACCTTGTCATAGTGCTTTTTGTGACCAAGTCTGAGGCGTGAGATAGCAGTTTCAATTTTCCTTTCATTTGAGTATGAGTTTGGCTTTTGTTGGACCTTGGGTTGAATTTTGTATAGCCATCTGCCGATCTTACTTGCGTCCCATTGGGTTTGCCATCTTTTTGCTATGGAGGCTTTGATTTTGCTTTTTATCTCTAGTTTACTAAAGGGAATAGGCTGTATATCCGCTTTGTCTAGAGCTAGCTTCGCCAGTGAGTCTGCTTTTTCATTTCCATGAATATCTATGTGAGAGGGGATCCAACACAGCTCCACCTGTTGCCCTTGGTCCGATAGTTTTGTATATTCGTATAGAATATTGTTGACTGTGTTTGGCCTGGAGTTTGAGTTTCTTCCACTGATGGCCTGAAGTGCACTTAGCGAGTCTGATAGGACGACTGCCTTTGCTTCCGGGAGTTCCGGTATGAGTTTGAGTGCATGATGAATTGCCTCCAATTCAGCCGTGAATACTGACTGACCATCGGGCAAGCGAACTGAATGTGCTTGGGGTTTGGAGCTGTGGATATGGATCCCGTAACCAGCACTGTTGTTGATAGGATTCTTGGATCCATCAGTGTATATATGGGCCCAGCTGTCCCAGGTAGTTTGAATTTTAGTGATAGCTACTGAACGTAGTAGGGTTGGGTTTTCTCTTTTAGTGACTTCTGATGTTAAAGCAGTGTCAACTTTGGGAGTTTGTAAAGTCCAGGGAGGGTGTAACCCTTTGTAGTGACTTTCTGGAGGCTGAATGTCATCGCAATTGTGACTTCGAATGAGTTCACGTACTAATATCCCAGATGGCTTTAGTGAGGGATTTTTTCGAGCTAGGGCCTCATCTCGAGCGTTTTTGTCTTGCCATATCTTTTTAACCAAAGGGTTTGATGTTCGTCCCCAGAACGATAATATTGCCTGCTCTCGTCTTAGTTTCAATGGGAGTTCTCCCGTTTCTACTTGTAGTGCTTCTAGTGAGGTGCCTGTCGCTGCGCCTGTGGCCAGTATTAGGGCTTTGTATTGTATTCTGTCTAGTCGCCTCAAGACAGTATTTGATGCTGAGTGAAAAGCCTCACAACCATAGTCAATTTTTGATCTGATAATGCTTATATACTGTAAACCTGGAAATTAAAGCGTCTCCAAATTAATACAACTGCTGACCCCTAGCCAAAAATGTGAATCAATATCAATGCTAATCTCTCTCCCCCCCCCCCATCATATCCTTACCTTAATACAATAAAAGTTCAAATAGCATCGCTTATTAGCGCTGAGTAGTGCACTTCCGTAAAAACAATAAACGGTGTTTTCCTAAAAGCAACACACTGTTTATATGTTTACTCTGTTGACTGGCATTAAGGAAGTTCAAAGGCAATAAGATAACTGAACCAACAACAGTTCACTGATTGGTGTGTGGAGGTGTTAACAAGCTTGTGGCTAGAACTCTTGACCCCCCAGCAGTGATAACTCACCGGATGCCCATTGTTTAATACCTATTCTTTGAATGACATTGTTATATACTTGCAACAACTGCTGCTCAATAAACTGTTTGTGTTTATATCCAAGTTGGTATTTCTGCTATCCTAAGTATGCAGTGAGGTCGTCTTATTGTTGATAGTCATTTCTGAGACATAAATTCAAAGTCAATTAATGAGAGCAAACACCATTCGCATTTTTCGTATTTAATTCACGCTTGAGTTTATTTCAAGATTTACAGTATAAAGAAGACCTTAACTCTGTAACATAGACTTACACAATTGTCGCCCTCAGATTGCTTTGTCAAACGAGACCCAGGTGTTCTGAAAGATTTAGTGTATCGTTGCTCGTGGTGTCCCACTCTCTGGTGCCAGCCCATGCGAGCACAATTACTTTCAGGCCTTCATGGTGTACGTGGAATATTGCTGACTTCAGCATAAAACAACATTCACTCATTTCCCCTATCCATGCATTTCAGCTCAGAAATCCCGAGCTCATCTGGATCAAGGGCCTTATGAGCTGAATCTGACAGGTATAGAGAACTTGGTCAGAAATGTATATACGTAATGGTGAGGTACAGAACTTTGCAGTTTCTCTTTCACAGTGCATACTTATTTGCACACATACATGTTGATTGGTTGATGTTGTTGGCAATTACTTTTCAGTTGGCCGAGTTGTCTCCCATAGATCTTCTAATTGGTGGCTCCCCTTGCAATGATGTTTCTCTTGCAAATCCTGCAAGGAGAGGTTTCCAGTCCGGTGAGTAGATTAGGTTTCATTATAAGAATCAGGCTACTGTTCTATCTGACCTTGTATTTTCTTTGATTAAAATATGAAAATGTTGCACCCTGGAGTCATGGGATTGCCAGAATCTGTTTGGTTGCCACTTCTTGTTTGACCATTGCTTGTTGGACCATTGCTCGTTTGATCATTGCTTGATTGACCATTGCTTGTTTGACCATTGCTTGTTTGACCATTGCTCGTTTGATCATTGCTTTTTTGACCATTGCTTGTTTGATCATTGCTTGTTTTACCTAGTACATTACACAGTAGACCTATGTGGGGATTCCTGGGCAGAACATTAAGCTTCTGACACTGTGGACTTCCTTGTTGACATTACATCATATGCTAAGTCTGCTATATTCTATGGTCAAGAGAACTTGTTGAGTGAGTGAGTGAGTTGGGTTTTATCACTGCTTTGAACAGTACCCAGTTAGGTCAGAGTGTATCAGCTTTATGTGACAGGAAAGCCTGAAGTGATGCAGGTCTCAGACGTTTACTACTCTGGTGAAACCCATGAGCACCGAGAAACTTAATCGTGGGAAACTGGGATTCGAACCCACAATCATATGTTTCTGGCATGCCTCAGGGAAGCAACTTTGTTCTGTGAATTACGGCCACGGGGCTACCTAGCCCAAAATTTGTGAAAAGAAAACATCTCATTGTATGAATTCATGAAGAGACTCTGAATGAATACTTAATTATGAATCTGTGTTGAACAAATTTTATTTTTGATAAAGTAATTTGGAAAAGTTGTTTTTTAACTGTATGTGTTTCAGTTTATTACATCTATTAATACAATGGATCATGTTGCAGTCTATTTGTATGAACTATTGCTGGTTTAATGTCGTACCAGAAGCCAGGGACTGCTGCAAGTCTTCCATAGTTTCAACCAACTGTAACACCCTTTATGATTCAGCAACCCTTGCTTGTCGCAAGAGGTGACAAACAGTATCAGGTGGTCAGGCTTGCTGACTTGGCTGATGTATGTCATCGTATTTCAAATGCGTAAATAGATGCTCATAATGTTAATCACTGGATTGTCTGGTCCAGACTTGATTATTTACAGACCACTGTCATATAGATTGAATATTTCTGAGTGCGGCTTTAAACCTTCCTGGTTACCTTGGTGACCTGGCAGTTAAGTTCAATGTATGCATGACCAGATCGTTTTCTATGAGTATCTAAATGCATTTTGCCAGGACTAGGATCAAACTATCCCCAACCGGACACTATCTCATGAGACCTACAGCGGGTACCCGGGTAGGGTCGGGTAATAGTGGGGTGGGTACCCGGGTTGTAAATTTTGACTTGTCCCAGCCCTAACTCACAGGTTTGTCTTGATTCAATTATACACAGGCCATCATCATGAAGTTAGAATATTGCAGAGTGTGATGTATACAACAAACAAAACTATGTACCTGCAGGTAGCACTGCCCTGCTGTTCTTCGAGTATGTGCGCGTCCGTGACAAGCTGCAGCAACTCAACAGCAACACACATCTGTTCTGGCTGTATGAGAATGTGGCGTCGATGAAGACTGAGTTCAAGAATACCATGTCACGCTTCCTAGAGGTAGGAGGTCATGCCTCAAAACATTATGATTCTTGCAGAATGACAGTGAGGTTTAAAGTTACAAATTTTACCTTATCCAGACTCATACTAATTTGCTTATCTCTTATTCCCAAAATGTAGTGGGAATTTCCTGTGCTGTGTTCCCCCTGAACAGAAAACATCTCCCCAAAATGCACCCTTCTCGTGTGCAGGTGCACAGGAACCATGTGACCAAGCAGTCTGATTCATCACTCCAATAAGTAATTATTCTGGTTTTGGCTCTTTGAAATTCTCTCTGTTTTCATTATGAAAAAGTGTACTATATGTAGGCTATGTATCACAGATCATGATACCTACCCCATTTGTTCTGCTTGCACGACACACCACTATACTGCAGAACAGTGAATTTGAATTCTGCTCCCCAATGGTTGATGAACAATCTGCTGAACATATTTTAGCTGTGGAGAGGAAGAAAATATAGAGAGGAAGAGAAGAGATTCTTCAGGATCTACTTCATCGTCTGAGACCATCAAGAAGAAGAAGACAGTCAAGTGTCAGACTACACCATGCCGCTCTTCAGATGAAGAGATGCTGAAGGGCGCCTTGAAGTCCCCAGCTTAATCTTAGGACCCTGGCAAGAAATCTTCTTCCTCCTCGAAGCTGTCACCCTCCTCGAAGGCCATCACCTCCTTGAAGATATTAAATGTCATCGTCCTCCTTGAATGGGTCCACAAATCCTTCTTCCTCTGGGAATGAAGATACTTGCACGCAACTTTCCACCTCCACACAGTGTCAGATGTTTGTCAACCCCAAACTTTGACATCTGATGTGATTTTGACTTAAGAAATGATAAGAGAAAGTAAACAGTGATGTGTCAAATGGTTCCGGTGCACCTGCTCGTGAGAGGTGTGCATTTGGGGGAGATGTTTCCTGTTCACTGGCAACACAGCACAGAAAGTTTTCACAACCTTTCAGGAATACGAAGAGATAAGCAAATTAGTTTGAGTCAGGATAAGTATGAATGATATTTTCATCATGAAATATTCATTTTTATGTTTTGTCTTGTGGATTTTCATATATCTATGTTATGTGACATTTCTTAAACATTTTTTTTGTTTTGGTTCAGTTACTACTGTACGCATTATTCATCACTTGTAAACCCCATGTAATGGGGATCTTTTTATGTTTTGGCAGAATTTGAAACTATGCAATGCTTGGAATTTTCAAGGATATTATAAACTGCCCAGGGAATGTTTTACTCATGTCAAGGATCAAGGTCATCCTCTTCATATACTCGTAAAGGTTTGTGTACCACCTGACTCAAGAAACATTGACTGTAGGTCCATTAAACTTGTAACATGCCAACCCTTGGTGGGTCTGCAATCTGAGTCACCTACATGCAAGATCATTGTGACAGTGTAGGTCATTTGTAAAGTATGATAGCTATTTCCAGGTGGGGTAGTTCGGCTTCTTCGTGCACTGGATCAACCACCTGTGTTGGTATGGCATGTTTGATGGAGTATGCACCCATATTTTCTACGAGAAATGATCAAACAGGGATTTATCTAGGATTCCAAACGAAATGCCCTTGGCAGGCAAATTAGGAAAATATTGTCATTATTTATCAAAATTGGATTTACAGTGATCTATTGCTACAACGCTACCTTTGGAGTCCATATATACGTTTTAGACGATCGGAGGTTTAACCGAGGTGAGGTTGTAGGGGGTAGATGACCAACACATAGTAGTTGTCTTTGATTCATAGTGTAAAAAAAAAAGATATATCTTGTGTTGTGCACAGTGAAAAAACACATTTTGTCCCTTCAGCAAATTCAAGTGAATGAACATGTACAAACTACTGATATGATATGAAACATCACAAGACATGATGATTTACTATTTAAATTGTATTTTCTGCTCTTCAAGGCATTGATTTATATGCAGAGATTAAGATTACCGTGTGTATTTTCTTGGAGACTAAGCCGGAAATAGCAATCAACTGTTCACACGTTTTCTCCCAATCTATTGGTCGTTCACTTAAAAATTACCCATTTTAGATGCAATGGTCAGAAGAAATCATTTCTGAAATAATTATTTTATCAGGAATAATATATTTTAATATTGAGTTATTTTAGTTGCAGCTTATATATATATATAACTGAATAACGGACATGAAGTAGTAACATATAGTTACGTGACGTCATAACATTTAGGAAACTATGACGTCACAATACCAAGGTGACAATGGACAAATAACTTATGCTTTTACATTTAACTTAGGCGCGTATTTATGAATGAAATGTTGCTCTTTTTGAAACAATGTAGGTTCATGATCAAAATTTAGCTTATATATGTTAAAATTTATATGTTCCAACAGCATAGCATTTTGGTACAGCAGATTGATATTGCAGGATATATTTTATATATGGAACATAGTTCCCGCACTACATGTATTTTGATTGCAAAAAAAATATCATTGTCAAATTGCCACAAATATGACTTTTAAGGAGTCAAAGTATGGCATTTATGATATGTGTATCCCTTCGCTGTCAACTAAAGTTCATGTCAAGGCATCAATAGCGGTAGTCTGACTGATTGCTGCTAGCAATCACTTAACACACAATTTCACCAAAATTAATGTAAAGAATATTGAATGGAATTTGGAATAAAATTAATAAAATATATTACCGGCATAAGTCCAGATGTACAGTGAACACATTTTTGTAACCAGAAAGTATTATAATATCCGGGAAATGGTGGTGAATGTTTGTTTTTTATTTCATACAAGTAGTAGTTGTGAACTCTTTTCCATTTTTGATGCCACCATATCATGTTCCTATTATACTCAGTGTATTTTGTCTTTTAGTGCCAGCCAGCCCTGTGGGACTCCAAGTATATGTCAGCTCAGCGCAGGGGAAGGTTTTTCTGGGGCAACATCCCCGGCATGTACAGGTAGGTCTGTGACAGGTGAGAGGAAGAGTGTTATTGGGAAACATCCCCGGCATGTACAGATAGGTCTGTGACAGGGGAGAGGAAGAGTGTTATTGCGAAACATCCCCGGCATTTACAGGTAGGTTTGTGACAGGTGAGATGAAGAGTGTTATTTGGAAACATCCCCAGCATGTAGAGGTAGGTCTGTAACAGGTTAGAGGAAGAGTGTTATTGGGAAACATCCCCAGCATGTACAGGTAGGTTTGTGACAGGGGAGAGGAAGAGTGTTTTCTTGGAAACATCCCCAGCATGTAGAGGTAGGTTTGTGACAGGGGAGAGGAAGAGTGTTATTGGGAAACATCCCCAGCATGTACAGGTAGGTTTGTGACAGGGGAGAGGAAGAGTGTTTTCTTGGAAACATCCCCAGCATGTAGAGGTAGGTTTGTGACAGGGGAGAGGAAGAGTGTTTTCTTGGAAACATCCCCAGCATGTAGAGGTAGGTTTGTGACAGGGGAGAGGAAGAGTGATATTGGGAAACATCCCCAGCATGTAGAGGTAGGTTTGTGACAGGGGAGAGGAAGAGTGTTTTCTTGGAAACATCCCCAGCATGTAGAGGTAGGTTTGTGACAGGTGAGAGGAAGAGTGTTATTGGGAAACATCCCCAGCATGTACAGGTAGGTTTGTGACAGGGGAGAGGAAGAGTGTTTTCTTGGAAACATCCCCAGCATGTAGAGGTAGGTTTGTGACAGGGGAGAGGAAGAGTGTTTTCTTGGAAACATCCCCAGCATGTAGAGGTAGGTTTGTGACAGGGGAGAGGAAGAGTGATATTGGGAAACATCCCCGGCATGTAGAGGTAGGTTTGTGACAGGTGAGAGGAAGAGTGATATTGGGAAACATCCCCGGCATGTACAGCTGTGACAGGTGAGAGGAAGAGTGTTATTGGGAAACATCCCCGGCATGTACAGATAGGTCTGTGACAGGGGAGAGGAAGAGTGTTATTGCGAAACATCCCCGGCATTTACAGGTAGGTTTGTGACAGGTGAGATGAAGAGTGTTATTTGGAAACATCCCCAGCATGTAGAGGTAGGTCTGTAACAGGTTAGAGGAAGAGTGTTATTGGGAAACATCCCCAGCATGTACAGGTAGGTTTGTGACAGGGGAGAGGAAGAGTGTTTTCTTGGAAACATCCCCAGCATGTAGAGGTAGGTTTGTGACAGGGGAGAGGAAGAGTGTTATTGGGAAACATCCCCAGCATGTACAGGTAGGTTTGTGACAGGGGAGAGGAAGAGTGTTTTCTTGGAAACATCCCCAGCATGTAGAGGTAGGTTTGTGACAGGGGAGAGGAAGAGTGTTTTCTTGGAAACATCCCCAGCATGTAGAGGTAGGTTTGTGACAGGGGAGAGGAAGAGTGATATTGGGAAACATCCCCAGCATGTAGAGGTAGGTTTGTGACAGGGGAGAGGAAGAGTGTTTTCTTGGAAACATCCCCAGCATGTAGAGGTAGGTTTGTGACAGGTGAGAGGAAGAGTGTTATTGGGAAACATCCCCAGCATGTACAGGTAGGTTTGTGACAGGGGAGAGGAAGAGTGTTTTCTTGGAAACATCCCCAGCATGTAGAGGTAGGTTTGTGACAGGGGAGAGGAAGAGTGTTTTCTTGGAAACATCCCCAGCATGTAGAGGTAGGTTTGTGACAGGGGAGAGGAAGAGTGATATTGGGAAACATCCCCGGCATGTAGAGGTAGGTTTGTGACAGGTGAGAGGAAGAGTGATATTGGGAAACATCCCCGGCATGTACAGCTGTGACAGGTGAGAGGAAGAGTGTTATTAGGAAACATCCCCAGCATGTACAGGTAGGTCTATGACAGGGGAGAGGAAGACTGTTCTGGGCAATATCCTCAAAATGTACAGGTGGGTCTTTGATTGGTGAAGAGTTTTGTGGGGCAAGTTCATGGAGAAGTAACACTCCATTATCTATGCTCTTCTGCATGATTTGTAATAGTTAATTCATAATGAAATTTCAACAACTGAGGGCCTGCAGTAACAGCAGCTGTGCCTTGCTTGTTGTCTCCAGCACACCAGCTATCTCCACCTTCATGCATGAGAATGTGGATCTGAACAGTGTCCTGGAACGCAACTGTAACCGCCGAGCCACCATCACCAAGATGGGTTGTGTCACCACACGCACCAATAGCCTGAAGCATGGCAAACATGATGAGCTGTTTCCCATCGAGATGGAAGGAGAGACAACTGGGATTTGGATTCCAGAGGTTGAGAGGTACATCACCATAGCACATTTCTACTGTGTCAGTCCTGTCTTAGAAGACACATATATTGGAATAACATTTCAGGATTGTTTTGAACATACTTACTTAGCTGGTAACTAATCTAAGGTACTGAATCTCAAAGTGCAGTTTCCTATGCTGTAATGAATTGTGGGTTCAAGTCCAAGATTCACTCTGGTTATGATTCTTGAATGTCAGTACCATACAGGTGACGAGTTTTAGGCTGATTGCCATCTTCTTGTTTCAGGCTGTTTGGGTACCCACCTCATTATACGGATGTTGGAAATCTGCCTGCAACACGCCGTCAGAAGCTGCTGGGCAAGTCCTGGAGTATCCCCATCATGAGAAACCTCCTCACCCCACTGAGGCAGTACTTCACAACCACAACCACCACTACTGAGTAAAGCTTTAACCGCCACCATTCATGAAGATGGCAGCTGTGTTTCTTGTTGCCACAGTACTTCACCACTACCATAACCTTCTGACCTCAACATACTGTCACCACAACTCCCTCCATAACCTTCTGACCTCAACATCCAGTCACCACAACTCCCTCCATAACCATCTGACCTCAACATACTGTCACCACAACTCCCTCCATAACCTTCTGACCTCAACATACTGTCACCACAACTCCCTCCATAACCATCTGACCTCAACATACTGTCACCACAACTCCCTCCATAACCATCTGACCTCAACATACTGTCACCACAACTCCCTCCATAACCTTCTGACCTCAACTTACTGTCACCACAACTCCCTCCATAACCTTCTGACCTCAACATACTGTCACCACAACTCCCTCCATAACCATCTGACCTCAACATACTGTCACCACAACTCCCTCCATAACCTTCTGACCTCAACATCCAGTCACCACAACTCCCTCCATAACCTTCTGACCTCAACATACTGTCACCACAACTCCCTCCATAACCTTTTGACCTCAACATACTGTCTCCACAACCTCTCCATAACCTTCTGACCTCAACATACTGTCACTACAACTCCCTCCGTAACCTTCTGACCTCAACATCCAGTCACTGCAGCTTCCATGAGATGGAACCTTCTGATCTCAATGACCCCAGCAGGCCCTCCCCTCCCCTCAAATGGAACCTTCTGACCTCAACAGGTAGCCACCACAGTTCCCTTCTGATGGATCCCTCTGACTCCCCTCTCCTCCAAATGGTATTTCCTGACCTCAACAGCTCCCTCCAGATGGAACCTTCTGACCTCCCCTGCCCTCCAAATGGTTCCTTCTGACCTGTCCATGTCATTGCCACTAATCCCCCTCTCCGTCATTTGAAATCCCTGACTAGATATCCTCAGTTGTGAATTTATGTAGGCGATGTCAATATTTCATGTGATGCAGCATTGTATATTGGCATTGTTGTCAACAATTGTTAAGGTTCTAAGTACAATATGCTTATATTGATCTGTGCTACCGACAGCTCCCTTTGTTTCAGTCTCATTGCCTTATTGTTATCTCTTGTGTATTATGCATGTGGCACTAATACTTCACTTACGGTTTCAATTGTCATTATCAATATGTCATGATGCGTTGTCATGTGCACTGAGAGGTAATCTTTTCCAGTTGTTGAAGACCTTTGCTGCAATCAGCTGTTCAAAGTTTCACCCCCTAGGCTTGATCACAATCCATTGATAGTGGGTTTATATGTGATATTATGATGGTTACATCTACATCTTATATATGGGTTATGTCAAAGTGGGTTGTCATCAAACTCCTACTACCTATAGCTACAACACTATTATCTCCCCTGTGACATTGGACTGACACCCAGTGATGCATGTGTATTTGGGTTGATATGGGTGTCAAGCTACCTAACGCCCTTATCAGTGACACATTGTCATTCGTTTCATCCAAGCATGTAGTTGGCAGTAATGTGTCTGTTATTCCACCATGTGTCAGTGTCATCCTGCCATGTGTCACTGTTGTCATCACTCCATGGGTCATTGTCATCCCACCAAGTATCGTTATGACACCAGGTGTCATTGCTATTTCACATTGTGTCATTGTTATCATCACAAATTTATTATGCTCTACACACATGAATCATCACACCATGTGTCACTGTTACTCAGCCATGTGTCATTGTTATCTAACCATGTGTCATTGTTGTCACACCATGTGTCATTGTTATCACACCATGTGTCACTGTTACTCAGCCATGTGTCATTGTTATCTAACCATGTGTCACTGTTATTCAGCCATGTGTCACTGTTATTCAGCCATGTGTCATTGTTATCCAACCCTGCGTCATTGTTATCCAACCATGTGTCATTGTTGTCACACCATGTGTCGCTGTTATCACACCATGTGTCGTTATCACACCATGTGTCGCTGTTATCACACCATGTGTCATTATTGTCACACCATGTGTCAGTGTTATCACGCCATGTGTCGCTGTTATCACACCATGGGTCAGTAGTATGTGCAACATGTGTTCTGTTACATGCTTTCTCTGAGCTCTTCAAAAGTCAAACATTAGCTATTGTTTTTGTGTCAACTGTTAATACATGTATGTTATTTAGTCCACAGTGTTCTGCTGGTCATGGAAAGCCAAATTTAACAAGTGTGTTCCTCTCTCCCAGGTGCTGTAAAACAGTATTTACTGTAGCATTATGTCTAGTATCTATGGTGGCAATTGATTTAAGGTGTGTTAACTACGTATCCAGGTGATATGCATTGTCAAGGCACGATTTCTTTACTTTTTGATTGTATTGACATTTCTCTGATTTTATGTTTGCAACTTAGGTAATGTTTCTGCGCACAAACCTCACAAGCATCACTGATGCATTGATAAAAGATTTCAAGGTCCCTTACAAACAAGGACAATAACAATCTGAAAAGCTGTGGTGTTTATTCTTAGAAGGTAAACTAAGGTGTTCACTACCAGTAAGATGTTCCTACAATGGGTTAGGCTGCACCACCTACAAAAAGAGCCTTAATTAGCACCGCACACATTCAATATTCCAGCCCAACCCAACAAAGTTATTTTAGCTGAATGAGAACATAAGAGAAAGGAATTATGTTCACTTTCTTTTTGGCTGCAGTTGTCATCAATATGTTAAATGTTATGTCAGCGTGTGGTTCTGCATGATTGATATTTGATATTGATTTTGTCTTTATTGCAAGATCTGCATTGGTGTTCTATAATGACTGAGTGAAATGTATAGTCAGTAAGGCATTCATTTTCAAGATCTTAAGTTTGTGTGATTTCTTGTAAGTAGACAAATGTCCATTTTCGCTTGAAAATCATAGTTATTTAGTTGTATCCTCAGAATATTTTCAATTATTTGTTATATAAAAAAGACAATTTTGGTGAAAATTAAACTATTTTTATGATTTGTTTGTTTGTTTGTCGTTTAACCCCACACTCAGCAATATGTCAGCTATATGACGGCGGTCTGTAAATAATCAAATCTGGACCAGACAATCCAGTGATTAAAATCATGAGCATCGATCCACACAATTGGGATACGATGACATGCATCAACCAAGTCAGCGAGCCTGACCACCCAATCCCCTTAGTCGCCTCTTACGACAAGCGGGGCGGTCGGGTAGCCTGGTGGTTAAAGCGTTGACTCGTCATGCCGTACACCCGGGTTCGATTCCCGACATGGGTACAATGTGTGAAGCCCATATCTGGTGTCCCCCGCAGTGATATTGCTGGAATACTGCTAAAAGCGGCGTAAAACCATACTCACTCACTCACGACAAGCATTGTCGCCTTTTGCGGCAAGCATAATGGTTGCTGAAGACCTAATCGACCTGGATCTAATAGGTCTATTTTTATGAAGAAGATTTATGTATTTGTTGCAAATATGCTCTATAAACTTTGCAGATTTGCACTGAATATGTATCTAGGTTTGTCAGCACCATGCCTCTCCTTGTGGATTTAACCACTGTAAACATTAATACCTGCATCACTTTAGGGTTAAGTCTCACGTTAAGCTGGCACGCTATGGTATAACTGCAGGATTTAACCATTGTGGTAAACATTAATACCTGCATCACTTTAGGGTTAAGTCTCATGTTAAGCTGGCACGCTATGGTATAAATGCAGGATTTAACCACTGTGGTAAACATTAATACCTGCATCACTTTAGGGTTAAGTCTCATGTTAAGCTGGCACGCTATGGTATAACTGCAGTAGTGTTCACCTGTACATATTGATCATTCATATTGCAAGACATATGATGCCCCAGGGGTGTCAGAATAAGCAGGAAAGCATCAACCATAAAGGCCCTGTAGTTCATGCCTGCCGTGGAATTGGGATCAGGTCATCACGCTCTGTTACTTGTGTATGAGTTTCTGCATCAATTGAAGGGGGAGGGGGTCACAGTAAGGTGTTAAGTATTCAATGTTTTAAGGAACGCCCTGACCCCGACCCTAGATACGCCCCTATATGTTTCCCTGAATTAAAGCCCATTGTACTCATAACTCTATACCAGGAGAATTAGGAATATATCTAACATCGACCTGTGCATTTGCCATTTTGCAATGACACTTACTGGGGAGGACAGTAATTATTAAAGATTCAATTATTGTGCTCACTTTATTTGTATATTTCGTCAAACACAGATTACTGACATGATGACTTTATAGTTGACTTCGAAGGATATTCACTCATGACATGACTTGTAAATTGTTTCATTCAAAAGGTATGGGCAGCGTCAATGCGGACTTCACATATACATGTAACAAGTTTCAAACAAGTAAAGTTATTGCATTCGACGACTTTGAAGGTCAAGGTCCCTCGGTGCGATTTGAGTGCAAGGAATATTTGAGTATTTGTTATTGGAATTTGATGAAACTCAATATATACTAGCCACATAAAGAAACTGCATGGAGAAAATATAGATGTAAGGGCACACCGTCCATATATGAAAGATAGGTTTGAACACAGCAATTATTGGAGACATTCAAACGCTCATGCACGTGCCATGCGATATGACGTCACTGATGGGGGCCTATGGACGTGCAATGTGTTACTGCACGTGCATCCTGTGCAGCTGTACACAGCATGTGAAACTCAAAATTCGCTGTCACTTTGGAAAGCATGATCTGTGGTCATTCAAAAATTCAAAACTTCTCAGGCGCAGACACAAGCATATCACAAGCAAATCATGCCAAGATTGACAGCTGCACAGCGTCATGAAGCCATTGGAATGATCCGAGCGGGAATGAGGCAACAACAGGTGGCAACACATTTCCAATGCCATCGTAACACGATATCGGCATTGGTGAGGCGTGTTCAGAACACAAATGACGTTGCCGACCACCCACGTTCAGGACGTCCCCGAGTAACGACGCCAAGACAGGACAGATGGATTCGAGTTACACATCTCCGACACAGGTTCCAAACGGCAGTAACGACGTCCCAGACTAGTCCTGGACTGCGCCGTATCCATCCCAACACTGTCAGGAATGGTTTACGTCAGTACGGGATTCGACCACGACGCCCTGCCATACGTCCCATCCTGACACACCGTCATCGAGTCAACCGTCTAAGATGGTGTCGAAATCATGTTCGCCAACCTCTAATATGGTGGAGAAATGTTGTCTTTACAGATGAATCGAGGTTCAACATTTCCCACAGTGACGGGCGCCAACGTGTCTACCGGCGTTTGGGAGAACGTTATGCACGCAACTGTATTGTGGAGAGGAATCGTTTTGGAGGTGGCTCTGTGATGATTTGGGGTGGGATAACAGCACGGCACCGAACCCCTTTGGTGGTTGTTCAGGGCAATCTCACCGGTGTTGGCTACAGAGATCAGATTCTGAGGCCTGTGGTCATTCCTTTCCTGCAACGTCATGGCCCGGGATTGACATTTCAACAGGACAACGCTCGTCCTCACACGTCTGGGGTCGCAATGGATTTCCTTCACCATAACAATGTCATGTTACTGCCATGGCCTGCAATTTATCCAGATCTCTCCCCAATAGAGCATTTGTGGGATGAAATGGAGCGCCGTCTGCGTCGTCTTCCACATCCTCCAGATAACGTCCGTGACTTGGCACAGGATTTGAGGAGGATATGGCAGGCCATTCCCCAGGCCTTCCATGCCCATTTGGTGGACTCCATGCGTCGCCGATGCACTGCTGTGATTCACGCACAGGGTGGTCATACCCAATATTGACTTTGTGACTTTGTCGTTTGACCCCCTACTCCATTTTGATCATCTGACGTCATCGTAACAGATGTTGTTCAGGTCCCGTTGACATTTCCTTATGGTCCGATCATTCAGCTGCTACAGCGTCTGCATCATTTTGTTCTTGCTGTGTTGTATTTCAATCCAGAATATATTTTCTCCGTGCACAGTTCATTTACGTGGCTAGTATACATTATCTCTAAGGCAGGGCCTTAAGCACATCAACTTTTGGGAGACCTCTGTACGGTAAAGGCCACTTGAGGTCAAATTTCGAAATGTCAATTTTTCAGAAAATTCTCATTTATTCAATTACAATCGAAGGTTATTGCATTTATTTAATATGAACTGGATGTCAACACATACCATTTAGGAAGTTTTAGCATGATATGGAAACTCCATACTTGTGACACTACCTTGCAAGTGTGAAGGAGCATTGTTCTTACAAGTGATCTAATGCTATTGCGGGTGAAGTCTACATTAAAACAAATTATGTACACAAGATCTTGAGTATTTATGATTGCAAGTAGACGAACCTTTGTAAACATGATCCCAATGATGTTCACAGGTGAGAGGCACCGGGTCCGTTCAAGGTCATTTAAACGGAAGTGATTTGTTGAAAAAGCAACAGGCATAGGATTTTCTGTTTCAGAGTTGTATTGCATTAGGTATCCTGTGTTTTCCGAAGCCGGATGTTTGCATTTAAAAAATAAACTTTTATTTATTTCTCGAAAATAAAGGAAAAAACAGTTTGTTCTATGGTGTTTAATAACAGAAGAGGAATTTGCGTGCTGGTGATGCTGGGTGCTCTAAATAGATGTTATGATAAAATATTAAATTGCTGGGCTCATCCTAACAGAGAAAACGTGTTTTTAAATAGTGACTGATAACAAATCATCCCGGAGGATATTAGGTGGTAGTCCCGAAACACTTACATGTACATCTTCCCAATGGTGACGCCAACTGCATGGAACATCGATCATGCCATCTCTCTTGATAGCCATAATTGAGATTAACTATTACAAATATCAAATGATATCCCTTTCCTTAACACGCATGTTTCAAATAAATGATACTTTTCTAGCCGACCCATTTGATAAACAAATTAGGTTTACAAATGATTTATTTTTCTAATGTTGTAATAACCACAGGAATATATGTCTTTGGCTGTGGGAATTTGGACGTTTTAAGGACTGGTTAAAACCAATAGCAACGTTTCCTCAGGTAGTCGGGGCACGGGTGGCCCAGTCGTCTAAGGCGCCGAGATTCGCTGTGCAGAGTTGCGTCCCTTGGCCACTCCAGAAACCTATGATTGTGGGTTCGAATCCCGGTTCGCCCTGATTATGTTTCTAGGTTTGTCAGCACCATACCCAAGCTCGTGGGTTTTACCGAAGTGGTTATAACGTCTGAGACATGCATCACTTCGGGCTTTCCTCCCATATTAAGCTGACACGCCGTGATATAACTGGAATAATGTTAAAACCCAACTCACTCACTCACTCACTCCTCAGGGAGTCAGTGTATACCGTGACGTCATGTATAATAGCGTGATGTTCTCAGGCTGTAAAGGATTGGGGCGGTCGGGTAGCCTAGTGGTTAAAGCGTTCGCTCGTCACGCCGAAGACCAGCGTTCGATTCCCGACATGGGCACAATGTGTGAACCCATTTCTGGTGTCCCCCGCCGTGAAATTGCTGGAATATTGATAAAACCCACTCACTCACTGTAAAGGATTTTTTCAGTTCCATTTAAGAACAGGATATATGATTGGCTGTCAGTTTTAAAAGTCAGTACAATTCAGCTGTAAGATGTCCAGCTGATTATTGTGACGTCATTTAGATTTACATGTTCATGCATGTTCGCATTCCTTCCTTGTTCGCATTTAATACAGCTCCCTGCGAAACTAGCTACGTCCCACCATTATGGTGAGGTGAAATTGGGTTTCACGTCGCGTCCAAGATTATTGCACTTATATAGCGACATGCATGCACGTGTTTCTGTGTGGCTGCTTGTACTAGTTCGGACTGATGCCGATTTATAGTGCTAGCCCACTGAGATACCATGCCGCAGTTTAACATGAATACCCTACTCAGACACAGTATACTGACTCCGAGCCGACCAGTCCTTGTCTCAGCTCCTTAATGCCGAGCGTCGGACA